GAAGCTTTTCAGTTTGGAAGTTCCTCAAGAAGTGGCGGCGGAGTTCCCGAATGGGGTAGTTCCACAAGAGTTTATTACATTCTTACAGGAACTATCTCCCGATGGAAAGAACCCAGCAACTATGTCACCTGATGGATCTCTGGGAATACCTCCTGGCTTAGAGAAGTTTTTCCCGAACGGAATTCCACCAATCGTCATGAATTTTGTAATACAAATTATAATTCAATCCAACAATATTTGGAATGGACAAAGCACAACAGGAAATATGATTGATATTGACGAAATCGAATTCCCGCCCGAACTCTCATTATATCTTAATGGAAAAACGAAAACATTCTTAAAGTTAATACAGAAAGTAGTTACATCAGGTGAAAAGCTAGTTACTTCAACTCCCGATGGTCAGATTATTTGTCCGCCCGCGATCACCGAGTTTTTCCCTGATGGAGAGGTTCCACCACCGGTGATAAACTTCTTGATTCAAATAATAAACTCATTTAATGAGAAAGAGAATCCGTTGGGGTTTACCAACCCACCGTTGGGGTTTACCAACCCACCGTTGGGGTTTACCAACCCACCGTTGGGGTTTACTAACCCTCCGTTGGGGTTTACTACTGAGCCTCCGTTGGGGTTTACCAACCCCCCGTTGGGGTTTACTAACCCTCCGTTGGGGTTTACTGACCCTCCATCGGAGTTTACTAATCCTCCGTTGGGGTTTACTGACCCTCCGTTGGGGTTTACTGACCCTCCATCGGAGTTTACTAACCCTCCGTCGGGATTCACTGATCCACCGTTGGGGCTTACTGATCCACCGTCGGAGTCTACTAACCCTCCTTTGGAATTTAATACTGAGCCTCCAATGGAGTTCACAACTGAAACAACAACAGAACCTACTGGCTCTCCCACACCTTTTGTGCCAAGTGATAAAGTAGATGTCGGAGAACCAGTTGAGTATCCCGATGAATATACGGATATAACTGAACCGCCCACTAATGTTGAGACTGGTACTGAGCCACCTACCAATGTTGGGACTGGAACAAAACCGCCCACTAATGTTGGGACTGGTACTGAACCGCCCACCAATATAGGGACTGGAACTGAACCGCCCACTACTGTTGGGAGTGGAAAGCCCAATGATGTTCCGAAAACAAATCCTCCAAAAGTAGAAGAAGAGTACCCAGATGAGCCAACGAAGCCAGGAACGGATAACGGAACACCAGTGCCTGGTCAACCAGACTCGGGAACCAAAAATCCTAATAATGGAGGAAAAGTACCCCCAAAAGTAGATCAATCTGAAGAAACACCTGATTATCCAGATTATTCGGAAGAGGAATCTGAAGAAGAGGATCCTAACAACCCAACAAAAGGACAACCTGGTAACCCTAACACAGGCAAAGGAAATGGTGGACAAACTCCTGGAAAAAATGGAAGTGGAGGAAACGTAACTCCCGACAAAAATGGAAATGGAGGTGGTCTGACACCTGACAAGAATGGAAATGGTGGTGGTTTGGTTCCTGGCAAAAATGGAAATGGTGGAAACTTGAATACTGATAAAAATGGAAACGGAGGATATATCGATGTAGGAAAAGGAGGCGGATCTGGCTCAGGATTGAACGTTGAAAAGGGCGGAACCGGTTCGCAGTATGAAGTAGGAAAAGGAGGTGGAAGCGGTTCGCAGTATGAAGTAGCGAAAGGAGGCGGAGGTGGTTCTCAGTATGAAGTTGCGAAAGGAGGTGGAAGTGGTTCACAATATGAAGTCGCAACAGGTGGTGGAGGCGGTTCTCAATATGAAGTGATGAAAGGAGGTGGAGGATCATCTTCTTATACAGTAGGTACCGGAGGAGGATCAGCCACTGCTTGGACAAAGAAGGTCAAGCTTAGCCAAAAACAGATTGATAAAATAGTAACTGTAAGTACGAAAAACTCAGTTATAAGCTAACGATGTCTTCTTCAGAAACACAATAAGGCTCGGTCAGAGATCGCACAAGGATTATTTGCAGATGGCTCGCTTACGACCATGGAACCTGCAACAAACATGAAAGCTCTGGTACTTTCGTGAAATTATAGACTAATGATATTGCTGAATCTTGTTCTAGGTTTGGGATACTGCTTTAGTGAAATCCGCGGCAAAACAAGCTCAGCGATGTGATGGAAAGTTTGTAAAACAGACTAATGTTGGAGAAAACATTTATGTAAATTCAACTGTAACAGATGCAATGAAGCCACCAAACATGGTATCCTTTTGATAGAAATATCGTAGTAAAAACAAGTGTAACAGATGGCCGACGCGGTAGATGTTTGGAAGGGTGAACTGGCAAAGTACCCATGGAATAATTCAACAGATATCAATTTGATAGCTAGAGGTCTTCAGGTTAGGAAAGATGAAGCAGTCTGATATGTAAAACTGTATGTTTCAGCTTGCTTGGGCTAAGGCGGATAAAGTTGGTTGCGCAGGTCACCAATGTGACAGTGGCATGGTTCTGAACGTGGTTTGCCATTACAATAACAAGTAAGTTGTGATGTCCTCAGAGCTTACTAGTTTATATTTTCAGACCTGATCCCCTAACTATTGACACTTATGCTAAAAAAGGAAAGACTTGTGCTGAATACTCCAAAAAGACGTTTAATAAGAAGAGCGGTCTCTGCGAATAATAACTTCTCTTTGTTATCTGTATATATGTTGAAAAATAATGTTGATTAATAAAAGTTTCACTATTTATTCATTATCCATTTATTGGGTTCAGAGTAAAAGGTAGATATACGTACCTAGGCACACAACACATTAAGAAATGTTTATACAGGTGTTCCATGTACGTGCATGGATAACTGTTGCTCATACAACTACGTCAAAAAGTATTTTGAACACTTACCGTTGCTCCAGTGTGTTGGAAAACTGGATTGTTTATTGCTACTGGGTGTTTTCTATTTTGTTTTCTTCCAGACTTTTCATGTACTTTTAATCACTATTTTACATACATACTGATATGAGCAGACAAAAAAACGTATTTAATACTTCGAAACATTCTTCTCAAGTATTCTGATCATGCGATGGCTGACTGCTGCTACTTTTCTACTATCTAATGGTGATTCAAGTGTTTTCTTCTTTTACTTTTTCGTTTCATAGCTTTACCACTCTGCAGTTTCTTCGTCGGCGGTGATGGGAATCTAGGTTTATCAAATATAAGTGAGTATTCATTTTCCGTAAACCATTTTTTCTTCATTCTTGCAGATTCAATTGATATCTTCCAGGATGACTCATTTTTCCCTATTAGATATGAACTTGATCACATGGCTAGAGCTGCTCCAAAACCCAAACCTAAACCTGCTCCGAAAGGTAAACCAGCTCCTAAAGGTAAACCTGCGCCAAAAGGGAAGCCTGCTCCGAAACCTAATCAAAAGAAAACGGTTACGAAAACAGTAACCAAAACTGTTTCGAAACCAGTAACCACAAAGAAGACTACAGTAACAAAAACCCAAACTGTTGTTACAAAGACGTCATCAACCAAAAAAACACCCGCTCCAACCACCACTACGCCAGCCCCTGCCGCTCCTAGGCCTAAACCGGCGACTGGGGCAGCTCCACCGAAAGGTAGCTTCGATGCCAACGCTATTCGTGAAATTTTAGAAGTATGCATGAACATGCATGTGAAAACAAAAGTCACTTAATTTTTTAGGAACACAATAAGGTGCGATCTCAAATAGCTAAAGGTCAGTTCAAGGATGGAAAGGGGCGTAAGAAACCTGCAGCAGAAAACATGATGAAGATGGTGAACTAACTTTGTTAACGCTTTCTGATATCTATACTAGGAATGGGATCCTACTTTGGCGCAGTCCGCCCAGAAAGTTAGTGATAAATGTGTGTTCGCACATTCTAAAACACCTGATGTGGGAGAAAATTTGTACACTGCTACATCATCAGTTGCTTACACAGACTTAGGACCACATGTAAGTATTTTCCGTCTAATATATAATTTTATACTCTAAATAGGGTAAAAAAGCTGTATTCGGTTGGAACGAGGAGTTCACGAAATTTGGTTGGGACGGCTTAGAATATTCAACAACTGTTGGTCATGCTGTTCAGGTAGGCTATCTCTCGAATATAACAGGCTAAAATTCCGTTCAGGATGTATGGGCTGTTACAAGATACATCGGTTGTGGTGCAACTCTATGCAAAGGTGGAAAGAACGTTATCATGGCCTGTCACTATTCTCCAAAGTAATATTATTACATATTTGAAAAAAAGCTGGTCTCATTACAGAGGAAACTATGTCAAGAAGCCAGCATATATAGCAGGAAAAACGTGTGCGAGCTGCCCAAGTGGTTCGAAGTGTGAGCAAGCTACAGGTTTATGTGTATGATACCTTATAAGATTTATATTCATAATATTTAATATTTGCTTATAAAGTAGATGAAATAGATTATTTCTCTGAATTGTTATATCATTTCATAAAGTGTGTCGCTGATAAACATCTCCGTTCTTCTGTTGTTCATCCTCGTACATCCTATTAGACTATTATTAACGTTTAACCATTTTTAAAAATATTTTTCTTGTCAATCATGATATTTCATCAATCAACTTTGGTTTAAGACGGTTATTGATCGTATTACTAACAGTTCTAACAGCTTTACGGATTTCCACTGTATAACAAGGATGAGTCGTGGTAATCGCTTTCCGAAGTAAACTGAACTATGAACTCACAAAATCTACGAAAAATGTAGGAAAGTTCCTGCGATCCTCCCCATCAACTTTCTCATTTTACAATCCTTCTCTTCATATCTGCGCTGCATAAATTCTTTTTCTGATGACTAGGCTTTGTAGCATGATGACAGCGCCTATCCAACCAGTTGAGCTAGTGGCTGGAACCAAAGAAACCTCTCAGAACAACGATTTCTTTCGATTGCTTTCTTTTGTTATAACGTTGTGCCCTTATAGAAACTTGAGCGTTTTTTCTTATAAACTGACTTTCTTTTAGTTTTTCTTCTGTATTTTCTTTGATTTCAGTATGATCAAATATCTTCTGTTCGCATTTTCACTATTCTACATATCTTCATCGCAAGATGACTTCATTTCTCCTGCAGTTCGAGTTGCCAGACTTCAGATTAACTATGATAATGCAAATCCAAAGGAGATTGAGAAAGTCGAAAAGTCTTTTATCAATGAATAACGCTTAATCAATATTCCTTTGATTCAGATGGAACTCAATAATGAGGAACAGCGTTCTAGCATCACTTAAGTTTATCAACAAGCATTGGCTGATTTGTGGAGGAGAAAGGTTCATTTCCGTTTTGGTTATTAATAGATGTGTTCTGCTATAGAAGCTCGAACGATTGTGGTAAAGCACAAGTAACTGGAGAGTCAATAGGTCCAGTAAACTACAGAATCAACGTTACTTTCATAGCAGAAAGGTAAGAGATCAAACATCAACAAAAATCAAACATTACTCAGAGATCCAATCAAAAATGCAAAAGTAGAAGCAACTTCCACAGTGAGTGCGGTCACTCAGATTGGATTGAAAGGAGGCATTTTCCAATATACCAACGCACTCAAAGTATAAAAATATCTGCATATGAGAGTTTATTGTGTTTACAGGTTCTTGGAAAACCTTCTTCCATACTTTCCTTTGATGAAGCATTCTTCTGTTACAAAGGAGCTACACTCATCGATGGAGATAAATGCCGTAAGGAGTTTAGATTGCGCGATGAGCCATTAGTTGAACGTGAACCAATTGATGTTGATCGTCTTGTTGCACTCTGAACCGTCATTCAACCTTTATTGTTAATGATTATATGTACATGAGAGGAAATTAATCTGAGAAATTAACTTAATTGTCTGATATGTCATTTCGTTTCTAACCTATCACATATCAAATGAAGCATTTAAAACACTAATAGTTCATAAGGGTAACAACACTCCAAACACCACCATCACATTGAAACAACACCGTCACAATAATATTCTTTCCATGTTTTGCAATGCATACTTCCTTGTTAGGTCCCTGTTCTCCCGGACATTATTTTCGTGAAGATGAATGCCATTCATGCGGCGAAGGCGAGTTTCAACCTGAAGCTGGACAAGTCTTCTGCCATCGTTGTGCAACAGTAATTTTCCAAACCAAATTACTGCTGTGTATTGTATTGATTCAGTCTACAACCTCCACGAAAGGAACAGCTAAAGCGTCCGACTGCTTCACTATATGTCCATCAGGCTTTTTCTACGATTCAATATCCAAATTCTGCGAACCATGCAGTTTCAGAGGATTTCAACCTGATGCGGGTAAAAATCGGTACAGTTAGAGAATCATTTTGAAATTCATGAAAGCCCTTGATTTCAGTTGTTTATCGTGTCCTCCAGGAACTGTACCGTTATATCTTAACTCAACTTCTATTGATCATTGTTTGGGTTTGAACTGCAATTATTCTTCAACAAAACAACTAGATTTGACTAAAACTATTCGAAACTGGTAGAAGCTATCTCTGTTTTTTGCGATATCAAAGAACATCAAATCGTATTCATCTCTTTCTCCTAAAAACTTGATAGCTTTAAGCTTTTTTGCCATTCTAAACCATTTCACTCTTACGTTCGAACACACATATAATTACGTGAACGAAACCACATAGTTTTGTTTCATAAAACGAGGGCAAGCTGATTTCCTTTCAGAAAACTGCCCAACAGGATTTCAACGTTCATCAGACGGACAGAAATGTGTCAGCTGTCCCATTGGGTCGTTTAAATCGTCCACAGATAGTGTTTGCATGCTGTGTCCTCCAGGCCAGACCACAATAGAAGAGGGTAGCAAATCCATGGAAGACTGTTCGATCAGTACGGATAATCTCTTACTTAAAAAATTTATGAAAAAAAGAAATTTGGAAAAATAGAGAATTGAAATAGATTAATTTGACTACTTTTACTGCTCTTCTTCAGAAACATGCTATCCGGGAACTTTTTGGAATTCAACAAGTCTTCAATGTGCAGCATGTCCCTATGGCACTTATGAAGATGAATACGACAGTAGATTGTGTAAAACATGTCCAGCTGGAACTACAACTTATCAAACAGGTTTCTATACAGCCTATTGTTGAGCAAATTAATCAGAAACTCCCTAGGAACAAACTCCGTTTTACAATGCCTGCTGACCAATCAATGTAAATCAGGAAAGCATGGTTGTCACTGGTTAGCAGCTTGTATGGATTTGCCAGATGAGGGGAACAAGCCGAGGTTCAGTGAAACAAATAACTTTCTGACTCATTAATTTTATCATTATAGATATTCTTGTAAATGTAAACCTGGATACGTTGGTAATGGATATACCTGTTCTGATATCTGTGCAGGATTTTGTAAAAACGGTTCTACATGCCTCAAAACAGGGAGAGGAGAAGTAAAATGTGTTTGTTCAAGCGGAACAACTGGAAGACGTTGTGAGAAAAGAATCGCCTGAGATATTTTTAATTTCAAATGTTAATAATAATAATAATAATATGTGTCGCTTCTAGCGATTGTTAAGTTGATAGTTGTTTTGTTTATCTATCAGGGACCCCCATGAGACTGAATAAAATAGTTTTGTGCACAGCTGAGACGCAGAGTAATAGCTTTAGTCCTCTTCCTGTCTATTCCAGAAAGCACTTTGTCAACTTCAAAGTTAATCAGAAAATGTTTATTATGCAGAAACCCGTATACATTCACTAAATATGAAAGTTAAGTAACATAATTTACTAATTCAGCTTCATCTAATGTAGTGAAGAGTGTCGTTTGACTAGACAATAGTTGTGAATTTCCTAAGCTTATGACCGCGATTTCCTCAATCTGATTGCTTTTCCTGAAAAATCAGAATGAGCTTAGAGCTTATGAAGAATTCAAAAAACCTTGTATCTTTGATGTTTATTCTTTTATCAATGCCAGTCCTATGAGTTGTAGTTTTTGAAATTGCATAAAGTCCATATAATGCATGAAGGAATGTGACTGAAGGTTATTATAGCTGAGCTAAGCTTGATGAAATACTTACCTCCTGCTAATGTTAAGCTTATGATTGGCTTGGAGTGTGGGAAGAAGTTGCCAACAATTAGAATACAAGAACAAACAATTCTCTGCAAAATTTAATCCATACATCATTAGAACCAACAAATGAAAACTAACAAATAAAACCATTAAAAGAGTCAACAACATGAATCGCAGTAGGCTCTGACTTGACCTCCATGCTACTCCCTTAAGAAAATGATTCATTGTAAATGAAATAAAACAATCAAACCTTATTCAGATAAATCAAAGCTGATAATGAGCCACAGCTCGAACATAAAATCAATAAGCAGGGTAGCCATAATAGTAATGAGATGTGAGGCTGTAATAAACCAAAACCACCTAGTAATACTCCAATTAAAATCTGAAATCACTCATATCATATATAGGATGTCATAGACCAAGTAGCTTACAAATAGAAGTTCTGTATAGAAGATGGAGTTTAATGGAGGCTTTGATTTCCTCTTTGTTTCTTCTAAGTTCATCATATCATCTGAAAATAAAGGAAATAAGAAGATACAATAAATAAATGACACATTTGAATAGGACAGATGGTCGCAAAAGCTGTTTGACTTATGGATTTACTTACAAATTAATTTCAAAACGAAAAAAAATGTATTTGAAAACTCATATAGCTCAAAGACACGCTGAATGCGACTGAGATGGAGGACAGTCAAAACATGGAGGAATTATATGATTTTTCGGAAAAAAAATTTGAGAAAGGGAAAAGAAGAAAAAATATTGTTTTTGGTTTGAAAAAGCATCAAATAAAGAAGAAAAAGGGTTCAAAATGAAAGCTTTTCGTAAGAAAACAGATAAAAACATTTAGGAGACGAAAAGAAACACGCAAAACACATGTCTGTTCAGCTGTTTTCTTGGGGGCAATTGTTAAGTATAAATACCTCGATAATAATATTTAAAATGTATTTGAATAAAGAGAAAGTAGAATGAATGAAGAAAAAAAGGAAATTTTCAATGATAGGAAAAGTGTTTCATTGATTTCATTTCGCAGAAGAGGTCAAATGTGGTAAATAAACTCATTTTAAGAATTCAGAATAAGCTCAGACAATAAAAGAAAGGAAAACTTGTGAACAAATGAATAACACATTTTGAAATCCATAGCTAATGGTGTAACGCCTAAAATCGTTTGTAATATGGATTGTGGATTTGTAAAAAAATCCATATTTGCTCATGTATTGGGAGGATGAGGGACTGTGAAGAAGCCAAAAATGAACAAGCTGGAGCATAGGCGAACGACGGCCTCATCATGTCAACAGATTGTCTCCCTCATCTCTATTCTCTCTCTCGTTCTTCTTCTCTCTAGCACTTTAAAGTCAAGGTTCCATGATCTAGAGCATCTAACCAGAGTTTCCCACAATCTGTTCCATGATATTGGAGTAAGCTGAAGCGAGCAGCGATATAAGCTCTTTCAGATACATACATCATCATCTAAGGTTTTTTGTGAGCATACGACTAAACATGAAAATCTTCAAAAGAAAAAAAAAGAGGAAATGAAGAAGAAAGTGAAACCAGAGATGTTTGAGAAAGAAAGTAGAGAAAAAGAAAACGTAAGCAACCGTTCACTGTGCACGCTTTCTTAAAATGACACGAAGTTGTCTACGTAAAGCTCACGTACGTCAGCAACGTTCCCGTTTGAAGTTTTTACCACTTTTTGCTTTTTAGTTGGCTAATGGAGAATTTATGAAAAGAGGATAGAGAGAAAGAGATAGAGACAGAGAGAGAGTGAGATAATAAAGATGGAAATGCGACAAGCTTGCGGCTCTAATTCAGTGCAGCTGTGAGAGCAATATAACACCCATATTTGGTAATCAATATTTCATTATACATTCTGCATAATCCCGAAAGCAGTGTTAAATCTTTTCATTAAGCACAACACAAGATACTAATATGATTATGTTAACTATATGTGATGATGATGATGATGAGTATGGCTGTAAACTACAAAACATTTTCGTTTTTTCTTTAAAATTTTTCAGCAACAAATATTTTTCTGTAAAATATAAAAAGAGAATATGACCTCGCTGACTTGAAACCGGTCATGTAAGGTGAATGTTCGGAAAAACAACTATTGACTGTTTTTCTTCAGACAAAATAAATGAAATAGTTAGAAGGAGATACGATGAGGATGAGTACAAAACATAATTTCAGGTACAACCCGTCGAATGAAAGCGAAAATTATGAATCGACCATTAAATTATGTAAATTTGAGACAGTTGAAACGAGGTAGTAGAGAAGGGAAGATATTCAAGAGAGATACAGGCGAGACCTACATATTTCTCACTCTATAAGCGAGAAATCGTGTTTCTTCACTTGGCTAGTATTCTAAATTCTGAATTTCTCAACGAATGAACAAAACTATTTGTTAGATTTGAGAAAAAAAATTAAAGAAAATCGATTGAGACAGCAAGTAATTGATGAGCGAACTGTCAGAATAGCAAAGAGACAGAAAGTGAATGCGTTTTTCCTAAACGGAGAGCAACAATTGAGGTAGGTCGATTGTTTAGATGGGGAGAAGGAGGAGGGGGGGGGGTTTGGTTGGTAAGGAAGAATGTAACTGACAGTTTGTCTTTAACTTACTTCATTAACTTTCAAAGATCTCCTACCCTCTCATGCTATTCTCTCTCTGTGTCAAAGATTCATCTAATGCAGTTAATTTGTTTTCTTTATAAAGTTCTTTAGCCCCGTATAGAAAGATCGAAACTGTACTCGCTCAAGGTTATTCCAAAGTGCAATTGAAGGATTATCTATGAGGGTGTAAGAGGTTAGAAAAATAATAATTTTGCTCAATTATGCTTCTTAAATTGGAAGAGAGAGAAAGAAAGATAGAAATTGACTTGTGATGACTTCATATGCATGAGATAGTTGTGACAGAATAATTGTCGTATGTAAGTAAAAAGTTCAGAACGAAAGTAGTCAAATATACCGAATAAGGCTATTGATTGGGTTAAGCTTCTCAATAGTCAAGAGCAATCGAACAAACAGAAAACGAGACTAGTGGACTTCTTCTTCACACAGTCTTCACATACAATGGTATAGTTTACTGAAGTTTTATATTTATTTTACTTTTCAAATTAAGATTTGTATTTCATCTTATATCCTTTACGACGTCATGAGCTTGTTGTTTGTATGAATGGATCTTATGAATTATGAAATACAAACTATTATCTCATAATATTTTATTTGATAAATATTTATGTGATAACGCTTTCTATATAAATATCTCCAGACGGCTATCAGTACAGCTGATTACCTCATGAATACGAAAATTCTAACTATCATTTCAATTCTTCTTCTCTTCGTCATGAACGGTAAGCTCTCTTCTTTGTCTTTTTTCTTTGTTTGTATTATGCTTGATCAACTAGTAGATGAGACACATTGAGTTACAATTAGCATAAATGTGATTGTTGAAGAATACGTGAGCACGTGAACACGTGATGCGTACAATCATAGAATGCAATTTAATTTTCATAGACTTTTTCATCAGAACGGTTGATGCATATGAAAATCTATATAGATTAATCACTATCCATTGCAGTCAATTCTCAAGATGGATCTCGTTCCAATGTTGAACAACATCAAAGTTACGGACAGACCAGAGATGCCAATCAACGAGCTAATGTCGATCCAATTCATAATTATAAGGCCAAGAAGATAGATTTGAAACCTAAGAAGTCTCCTTGGTTTGTGGAAAAGGATTTGTCAAAATAACAATTATTATAAATCAACATGTGCGATCTCATGATTGAAGTCACAGTTGATAACTAGTTGCTTAGTCAACTATAAATTCTTCTTTTTTTCGCTTTTTTTGTACATCCGTTCTTGTGCTTCAATAATTATTTGTTTATATTATATAGTAAAGTTGTGTTTCACAAGTTTTCTTTTCTTTTTTATTACATTATCAGTTGATTCACATAAAACTTGACTCATCAACGCCCACTTCATAAACGGTTTTTTCAAGATTAGAAATGGTCTTGAAATTGGTTTTAACTATGTTTCTATTACTGCCCTATGCATTACCTCAAGCATTGAATATGAGAGAAGCACACATCAATGTACGATTGGCATCGAGTAACTACAACATGGATCGTTCTATCATACCATGTGTTTCGTATGATTCAGACTTTATAAGATGATAATCAGACACAAGTTTTAGTAAAATAAGCGGGGAATTCGGAATGGGACCGTTTCAAGTGCTAATGGAGCACAACATCTATTGCGATGCAAATCTTGGTAACTGCCGTTCAGTAGTTGGTAATCAGAGTTTTCTTAAACAATTACAAGCGCATTCCTTACAGTAGAGTTTCCTCATCTGAAAACTATTTATTTCACCTATCGAGGAACCACACAGCCGGTCAGTAACCTAACCTCACTCCCCCAATTCGCATTCTAATTACAGTTACAATTGTTAGAAGAATTTGCCCAAGCAGTAGCTACGAAAGACTTTTTAGGATTAGGCCAGGTACTGGACCCACATAGTATTCATTATGCTCTAATCAGGTTAATGGATACTTCGTTACGGCCAGTGATGCACTTTGGGTGAAGCAAAGAGAAATTGTCATGAATCCTAGATATTCCGTAAGTTTCAAATGCATCCTCACATCTACAACAGCTTACTCTCTCATACCATTTCAGGACTACAGGTTTGTTTATACAGGACATTCGTTAGGAGGAGCATTAGCTATTCTGAGTGCATTAAAGGCAATTATTCGTTAGTAGTTCTTTACGAAAAAATCGGGAGGTTCGTTTCTTTAGAAGGAAACGTTAGGAAATCGCAAATTCAAACAATGACTTTTGGAGAGCCGAGGATCGGGCATCGTGAGTTTTCGAGGAAAATCCCATATTATCTGATGAATGAGTATGTTTGTTTTTTAACCGAAAAAAATCTCCGTTTAGTGTTCGAATCACCAATGGCAAAGATGTTATCACTCGGTTACCACCGTGTCGTCGTGGTGGAGGTTTGTTTTCATTTGCATTAAACTCGGCTTGCGATCCATCTTTTGAAAACTCATTTTATCACCATGGAGTAGAATACTGGTGAGTGGAAGTAATCTCAATGGCTAAAATCAAGATCTTAGGTTTTACAACGATGTAGGAACGAACTTCGCTTACAAGAGATGCTCTGGATCGCCCGTCAGTGAAGATACCTCATGCTCGGGAAGATATGGGTTTTATGATAGCTTTGGCACTAGACCTATTTGTGATCATCTGGTGTATCTTAATTTAGACGTAAGTGCAGAATAGATTTAGGATCAATTTCATTTTTCAGCTTCCGCTATATGGTATGAGTGGCTGTGAAGTCCCAAAAGTGCTCCCAAACAACTTAACCTGTTCCATATTCTTATGAATAGGTCTCTGTTGTTTGATGTCAGCCAAAGTAACAATTAGGCTCAAGAAATGTTTCAACGTACTGTCCGACCAATAGGGAATACGGCACATTAATGTATAGGAAAAAAATATTAGATAGGATTATTGGTTTATACTGTGATTTGCATAGGTGATAAAATTCTTTTTCTTATAAATAATTATAATTTAATAAGATGATACTACTGTTTCCATTCTCTGATACGAAGAAAAACAATTTAAAGGTTCAAATTTTTAACTAACTGAATTGGAAACATAAAGCAATCAAACTCAAAATATACATATATAGAACATCATACTGACTAAATTATAACTTTGCTGCAATGTTCGAAGTAGGTATTCTCAAAAAGAGAAATGAAACACAAGGAGTTGATGCAGGGAATGTTTGAATGATCAATACAGAAAATATACTATTGTCTAGAGACTCTTTTAAGTTTATGAAGCATCTTTCATCACATTTTCCAATCTTTTCAACAAATGAATCCCCCAAGGGTTTGAATTCAACCCCAAAAAATGTATCCTGGATTTCCTACGGCTCTTGAAGTATTACAAATGAATGCTTTAACATGTTTCATCTCTTATTTAGTCGTTTTTTCCCTTCTTTCTGGTTGTACCAGTCACGGACAGCAAACGTTCCAACTTCAACACGCCGTGTACCGTAGACCATTTTCCAATATAACTTCTCCAAGAATCCAAAAGAGGTTAGTAATTAACAGTTTTGGCTACTGTTTCTGTTTAAGAAGCGCCGATTTAGCTCAAAATGTAACCTTTCTTCTCAATTCAGTTCTTGAAGATTATGACAGGCACTTCAGGCCGGATTTTAATAGTTAGGTTCTTCTTGAAGCATGTAAAAACCCTATTTCTAGTGGGAAACCCAACGACTGTCTACATTGATATGTTTGTTAGAACCATGGGTCCTGTATCTGAACTGACGGATGTCTGTTACTAAACGAAAAATGATTATTGCCATAGCTCGTTAAGACTTTCGAATTCAATTGTTACTTTCGCCAAACGTGGACTGATAAAAGGCTACGGTTCAATGGTACTAAACCAAATCAACAACTCTCTCTGAGCATGACAATGCTTGATAAAATATGGAAACCTGATACAGTAGTCAATTTCAACATTTAAAAAATTTTAAAAGATTGCAGTACTTCTGGAATGGGGCTCGCTCATATGTACACTCAGTTACTAATAGCAACCGCTTGGTGAGACTTTTTGCTGATGGAACAGTTTTATACTCTAGTAGAATAACAGTTAGAGGTTCGAACAACAATTTATTCAAGCTTCCAAAATTAATCTTCAAAGGTAAATGTGCAATGACAATGATGAGGTATCCATTAGATCGTCAAGCATGTCGTCTTCTAATTGGTTCGTACGCATATAGTTCACACGAATTGATATTCATTTGGAAAAATATGGGATCGGACAAAGGAGTTCAAGTAATTACCTGTTGCAATCAAAAGAAAAACATTTTTCAACAGATGGATTATGAAGCCATAGCAGATCTTCCTCAGTTTTCAGTCACTGGATTTCAAACATACGACGCTAGGAATATCACTCGAGATAGTACGGTTGATAGAGAGGAAGTTTAACTATCTTTTTCAAGTGCCATACTCGGTGTTGGAAGCTAGATTTTATTTTGATCGTCACTTTGGATACTTCTTGATGAACTTCTATGTTCCTTGCACTTTGATTGTTCTCATGTGCTGGGTAATGTTCTGGACGAATAGAGAGTCATCTGGAGAACGACTTGGAATGGGTATTCATTAAATCACAAAGTATCACAACTTAGATTGTTCTAGGAGCAACTTCTGTCCTCACATTAGTGCTGATAGCAATTGATAGTAAAAAGGATTCTCCGAAGGTTGTGACTGTAGCGATGGTAGATTAAATTATGTAGTTTAGGTTGATTTTCCTACAGCGTTAGATGTTTATATATGGATATGCTACACTACATTATCCATATGCATGCTTGAATTCACTGTGGTTCATTATTATACAAAGTTCAATACTGGTGATCCAGAGATTCAAGCAGCAGAGAGAGAACGAATGCGTCAATTGATACGCAGTATTCCTAAAAAAGCCATCTTGAGGTGTGAAGCTCAACTTCACGATTTGAATAAGTTTACATGTTCAGTAGCAGGCACTATAACCGTCCACGTACTATTGGTAAACGACTTATAAGTGTTTCTGATGACCCTTTTGTAAATCAAATTACAGTTTTCTTTGAAAGAAGTTGTTTTAGAGCAGAAGAGATGGTGGCAGACATTCGATGATTCAAAGGACTCGCAGAGTGGATAGGTTAGAAAAATATTCAGTCAAGAATCTTGTTCTTGTGTTCTAGACATTCAAGAAAACTGTTGACTCCTCAAAATTCGAACCCTATTGAGGAGCAACCAAATTTCGAAGAGTTCCAACATGAAAATATTGGTTGGAGGCTTTATTATTGGATGTTAAGCCACGTGAGTACCGAATTTCATTCAACAAACAAACCAGTTGTTGGGAAAGAAAACAGATCCTTTCGGCTTGGCAGAGAATTCCATTTCGATAGTGGACCGCTTCTCCAGAGTTATTCTTCCGTTCTTATTTATTCTTGTAGTAGTTCTCTATTACAATTTTTATGTGAATACTCCATACAATTTCATATTTGATGATCATTATGATCATTAGGCAGTTCTAAACAAACCGTTCTCACATATTGTCTTTTGACCAAAATCATAAGCTGATGTTAAACAATACATTGACTATAACTCTTTTGCTTTCATTCATAATTTTTTGAAGATAGGCAAAAACAAATAAAGAAGGTTATTGTCTGATGAATTACAAAAGTACTATGAGAAACAAAAGAATGAAAACAGAGGAACAACCTGTAACTAGCGTTCTAAGTGAGGAATGAAAGTAGTCGAACGACCGATATGACATGCTCAGAACAGAGAATGAAAGTTAACAACCAGTAAGAATGGATCAGACGTAACCATGAAAGCACGGACGAACTCAACCCTAACAAAAGCTGTTTTACTTCTTTGACTCGAGTAAGAAAATATTTCATCGAATGTTGTTCCTCATCCTATTGATATACTCGAGAATTTCACGTCAGAAGTTCAAGTACTGCAATGGCATGGAGATGATCAAACAAATCCATTACAGCAGGATTTAAACAAACAGAATATTACAGAACTTTTACTGATGGTCAATGTTAGAAACCTATGAGCACTGTTCTAATGTTCGAACTATTATTTATCCTGTGAATAGGTCCTATTTGCTTCGCTTTATCGATCTACACAGTAGCATACGGAAGGCTTTCATTCTATTCACTTTTTTCTTCTTCTATTTCTCTCTATCTCTTAACGTATATCTATGAGACTCTCTCCGATTTTCTCCCCTCTTAACTCATCTTCTCTTCTCATGCTACAACGCTATCTCGTCTTTCTGTCTACAAAAGAGGAAACGTTATATCCTCTGTACTCAATCTACCTTCTCTATGGTATCCCTTCTCATATATTACTCTCACTATCTGTCTCTCTTTACATCTCTTCCCAACCTTACCACCCTCTTTAAACTTATCTCTTTTCTTTCTCTTTTTCTCTCTCTTTCTCTCTCATTTTTTCCATCTCTCTTGTATGCTTGTTCTCTCAATCGGTCATTCAACACGAGGTTCACCGTTCATATGAGCTTCACAAACCCTGATGCGTAAAGCGTGCTCTTGGCTTAACGAACTTCTGAAAACGTGATAAACCGATTTCGTTGTCATTCCTGATTTGATCTAAAAGTACATAAAAGTACTTTTTTCTCCATATGAAATAGAACTTGTTCCTTAACCTTTGCTATTTGCTGAAATTCTAACTGGTCATTCATGTGAACAGAGGTCCTTCCATGCTTATGTAAACATCTTCATCGTATAATCCAACCTATTGCTAACTAAATTTTTTTTATTCTTGTCTCATTTCTCCTTGTTATCGTTGTCAAATCAGTCCTTTTAAGATGTTCCGAAATGTTGTTCACTACTACCTGCTGATCTGTTTGCAGCTTTCAGTTTCAGCTGTTCGAAGTAATCCCTTTATGGAAATTTTCTCAATTTTTATTTTACTCTTCCAGATAAATGCTATAGCTGTGCATCTACTAACATGAAAGAAGTGAAAATATTTGTTTTAAGACATTCATTTTTTTATTTAATTTTCAGAATTTTATAACTAAACAACGAGGACCCCCCAATAGATTATCAGAACCTCGTACATTCGATAATAATTGCAATGGAGACACATGGATTATCAAAGTAATTTTAATAATCAAACTTATAATCCAAAACAACTAGCCAATACAGTTTCTTTGTTACTGATATAGCAAAAACCTCAAGCTTCTTTGATCAATCCATTGATATATTAATGCATTCAGGAACGGAGTACAGATGAATGTGATGGTCCTTGCTTCAAATGGCAACAGAGTTTGAATAACTCAGGTAGGATTTTAACATCTAATTTGAATTGGCCCACAAATGAATCGTTTTGTTAGGCTCTTTCACGACAATGACTTTCCGAGGTTGTTATACAAAGTTCTACAATATGATGGATCCAAACACTATCAGACCACCAAATCACTCTTACTGCACAGTTGGAGAAGTAAGAGAAATTCCTTTTTCTTTCAATGTATAAATAAATACTTCAGGTTCCATTGACATGCTTGTCTGATGCTTCCATCATTGAGTACAGTTGTTGGTGTGATGGAGACCACTGTAACTCTTCCCCTTCATACACTTTCCTACTGGTCTTAGGGTTATCGATGTATTTTCTATCTTAAAACCCATTTGGAACAGTCTCCAATTGCTCAATTATGTTTCAGGTCTTCAGTATTTTTGTTTTTTTTTTCACATATCTCAGATGATTTTCATAAAAGTTCATTTTAAAAAGTTCATAATCGTCACAACAAAATTATGCTATCAATCCATTGAGCTACAAGTTCTTGAACAGTGAATGTTAACTCCTGAAACCAAGCAGCTTCTCAGATTCAGAAAGAAGAATGGAAGCATCTTGTAGCTGACGATCAGTCTCCGTTCCATCGTCATCGTCGTCACTTAATTCCATTGCTCGAGATGCTGTTAACGGCGACAAAACTGTCTCCTCTTCTTCCGAATTTGGATAATACTCAGCATCTACGTTTACCTTTAAATATATTTTCAATAAAAAAGAACACCGCTTTGACGTAAAACCCACTTTTATAAACTTTGAAGAAGATGGATCTTCTGCCTGAATAACAGCATTCAATCGGACTGACAGCATAGAGAACGATGGCCGTTGATTTGCAAAATGATGCCAATATTGTTTCATAAGTTGATACCTTCAACAATTACGATTTACTTCTCAACTATTCATGTTGAACTAACATGTCTGCTGAGCAACCATCCGGCTTATCCAAGCGAAAGCCTCGCTCTAAAGCCGATTGTACTGCTGTTGTCTCCAAATTATGATATGGATGGCCTCCTAATGTTAGGATTTCCCATGCAATTACCCCAAAAGACCACCTGCAACGTGGAAGGATTCTAGAACGTTTTCATCGAAAACATACACATCACTCCTTCTCGTGGGAAACTCTCCTTTGAGAACTTCTAATGCTGTCCAACGTATCATGTCTTCTTGTATCGGCCATCTACAAAGAGAGGGATTAGAACAATTCTTGAAGACTACTTGCCTTATTCCACATGATTCTTTCTGTGTTTGACCAAAATCCGTAATTTTGATAGAATGATCTTGGGTGACAAGTACATGTTTGGAACTCAAAGCTCCATGTACTAAAGCTTTCGAGCTAAGATAAACCTGTAAAGCACGAAATAAGCTCAATCCTGAAGTACAAAAAGAAACCATAGCAGAGCACAATTGGCTACACATTCGATGTAAATCTCTGGTTGATAGAACCATGTTGAAATCAACATCCGAAATGTTGACTAAGTCACCGTTCAAATCTATTCCTCTTTCTTGAAGCTAAAAGACGTCAGATGATCAATTCCCCCCGGACAGTAAAAATAGTTGCTCACTTCTATCATATACTTCCTCCTCTTTGTTAAGTAACGTTTCAAATTGCCATAAGCACAGAACTCTGTGACCAGCAAAACACATTCTTGCAGTGGGACAACACCTTAACAGAGCTGTTATTAATTTGAAATATTTTGTTTCACCTATGAGACAGGCGATACAAGGATGACGCCCAACCATCTTGGTCCCCTCAATCTCGTCAAATATCCCTTTTCGGGAAACTTTATCAGCATAGTCTCCCGCTTTAGCAGCAACCCTTCCTTTGTCATCTAGTATAACAGGTCCTTGCGCAGGTAAATAATCTCTTTTCATATAAGCTTAAAAATGGAGTTGACATGTCACCCAATTGAATGTTTACCCAGATAAACCATTCCAAAACGTCCAGTCCCCAATAACTGATCCCAACAGACAGTAAGCTGATTCTCATCGATTTGCCAAATATCTCTGAATGATCAAAATAAGTTCACTTCACCTATGAATATTCTAACGTCTCTTTTTTCTTTTTTCTGAAGCGAAGACGTCCCGTAACACATTTGTATATAAGGATAGTGAGAAGAAACATGAATAGTATGAATAGCAACAGTGTATATCCAACGATTGTTCGAACCATGGGCGAAGAGAAAGGTAGACGACCATGTAAAGAAGCTTAATTGAACAAGAAATCAACATGAAACAATTTTTAAAAGTGAATACCAAATAGAAATTGAGCTGTTATGCTGTGACTAATGGCTGCTAATGGCGGCAATTCATAAAAGCTATTCATAACTAAGCATAATCGAACTCCATAACGATAATCATCCAGAGACCCAAAGCTCACAGAATAATCATTGTGCTGTAATGTGTTGTTATCAAAAAATGAAAAATGCACGAAACTCACATATCTCGTGCAATTTCTGTTTGGAAGACAAAAACGCTTCCTCTTAGCTCTGGACAGCTTTATGATACAATCCTTCTCATTACGTTGATAGATATCTTCTTCACAAGGACCTTAAACAAGGTTTGATTTTCTCTTTCCAATAGTTAGGATACTAACCAAAGAAAGCAATCAAATATTTTGCTCTTTCAAAATTTTCTATTTTTTCTTCATTCAAAACCATGTTCACATGAGCTTTTCTGCCATCAACATGTTTTTCAAAATAATAATCATAACTCTTCATTATTCCACAAATAGTTTGGTGATTCTCTGAAAAACGATTGTTCATTACACTATAACGAACAGAATGCTTAAAATACTTTTTACAGCGCTTGTACATGAAGCCCCTTCTACTCTTTCACACGCAAATGTGACATTCAAAGAGAGGTGAGGTTTCAATGAAATCAGCTCCTTACATTCCTTGTGATACAAACTTTTGATCTAAAAAATTCATTATGCCAAATATGAAACTGTCAGTCTATTACCGATATTTCGTAGGTTGTTCGCAGCAACATGTTCATTTCCTCGAACATGAACGTTGCTACCAACGACAGGCTGTTATCTCTTTTTATATAGTTAATGGCCTATAGGGAGATAATGTTATGATTATTTCAAAACTACAAAATTACATTGAAAACTGGTGGAGAACGTTCCATTACAGCATGATCGTACGATGTTGGTATCCAATCAATCGCAATCGAAGATTCGTTTTTCAGAATATCAAAAACGGTCAAGTCTTCTAACCTATCATCTGAATGATCATCTATGAAGAGTTAGTTATGTTCTTTTCAACCTTTCATTGATATTTCCAAATCTAACTGAATGGAAGCGTTCTGTCCACGAACAGCTATTCTTCGTAGTTTTCGGTATAATCCAATTTTGGCAGTGGGACGACAAGTTGACTTTGGAACACAAGGACATTGAGAGAAAGAATGGAATACCCCAAAGGAGAGCCAAAACAAGACGTATAAATATTGTTTCATGTGATTTAATTACTAATTTATTCCATTAAAATGATTCTAGAAATCTGAAAATATAGAGAATTCAAAAGAAAATCTGAAAAACAGAGAAAACGTTCATAATTAAATGGTACTTCGTTCATCAAGTGACGAATGAACAAGAAAAAAAAAGATGCATTGTGAAAAAAAAAAGATTTGGAATCGACTTCGTAAGCAGAAAGGAAAAGCTCAAAGCTTCACATTGTGAATAATCTACATAAGATATATTATTGGTGAGTTTTGTCTTGAGATGGAATGATAGATTTCTGTTGTAATCGGAAACCATGCGAAAATGGGAACGATAGAGTAGTTCATCGGGATATTTTGACCTCTCTGAAGCTTGCGCAGCTCAAGAGCTTGAGGGTGGTAATCCAAACATCAAGCAAAAGAAAAATGATATGAAATGCTGAACAAAATTGCTCCTGAAGAAATATTGCTCACATCCCTGAGTATGGAACGTAACTCTCAATTTCGGACAAACAGTACATCCTTCAGGTCATTCCAACGTCATCTATGTTATTAATGAAGTTCTATAGCTACTCAATGATCTCCAGTAGCTTTTGCTTGACGTATTGAAGATGGAAAAAAGGAGAAAAAAAACTTTTTTTTTGTTTTTGCTCTCATTCTCTTCTCCAAGCGGAATTCGAGTTCTTTCTCTTCCAATTCCGAATATAAAAAATGGTTTTATCAATAGTTCGTCGTTCAGTTCCGTTGTTTTTTGGAACTTAAACAAGGAGAGTCTGGTGTTCGTTATGCATTTCAGCGGAAGATGAAAAGAAAAAAAAGAAAGAATGCTTTTTTAATATTATTTATGTATAAATATAATGTTCCACTTGATATTTGAAACATACAACGAACTAAAATATTTAATGTCGTCTGACATCATTCCTTGTTAGAAAGCCAGGATTGTCCTTTGTTGTCTGTCTTGATTCATTCACATCTTCAAGAAATCATTTCATGAAGAATAATCGAAAAAGTAAAAAGAGAGAATTAAGGGAAATAAAAACATTTTGCTCACGACTGCCTAGAAAGAGCATTTGATTGAGATTTAGGCTGATACCATGTGAAAACTTTTAAAAAAGTTGGAAGAGTATCGTCGCATAAGCAGCAACCGTTTCAGCTGTTCGTGCTTCTATAATTGAGATGTCAAGTACACGTGAAGTTCATGCAGAGCACTTTTTTCCATATTTTGTTCAGAGAGAGAGAGAGAGAAGACGAAGAAAAAAGAGAGAATATTCTCTGTTTTGTTTTTTCACATCAGAAATTCTTCTATTCATATGTGACAGTATGCCCACATACTACCTTTTGTAATACTTTCTTGTCGTCTTCGTTAAAAACGTTTGTGAATGAAAAAAAAGTAGGCGGTCCATTTCACAGCTCACTTCATCACCAACATGAGTCTGCTTTTTCTCTCTCTCTTTCTCTTTTACTCTTTCCTCTCTCTCCCAGTCCTAGCTCTACTGAAATCTTTTGATTCTTTTCTTTCTCTTTCCTACATCGTTCATCCTACTCCTCCTCCTTTTTCTCTTCATCCTCTTCTTTACACGAAAGCTACCAAGTTTCGCAACTACTAAAATTATTTGGCACTCATTTAGAAGCTATCAATCCAAGACGGGCTTCAGAATTCATTTTGACCGTTGGAATGTCATGCTGTGGTTCGCGATTTTATTCCTACTGACCACTGTAGCTGCACGTCCGCAATGTAAGTTTCATCTCTTTCTCAATCGTTTGCAATAGCTTGTCAGAGAATTATCAATGACCAGTCGTTTATAAAGCGTTTTATTATTCAGATAGACATCATGATTCTGTCGAAGAGATTCTGCAGTCTCTAGATTTCTTTCAACGCCCTCTACGAGCAGAGGAAGAGCCACCAGTGTAAGTAGAGCGATTTTCTATATGTCTTTTCTTGAAAAATGACCAGCACTTAGTTAAGTATTTTGTTATTCTTGACTTCCAACCAAAAAAAGAAAGGAAAGATAAGAAGTCTTTGAGAAGTAAGTCTTTCCGACATTTCGTTTTATTCCTCACGTCATCAATTCCGGGGGGTCTGAGGTCGTAGACAACATTCTCATTCTTGAACGAAATCGTTTTGAAAATAAGCAGTATACTTGCTTAGATGTAGGAAGAGATATCTTGTAAACACGGAAGAGAGAATATGTGATGACAAAATTCATTTTTTCACAATTCATTTATTGTTGAATGTATAGTTTTGGCAGAGAAAAATTATTCATATTGTTGAAAGAGAATAAGAGATAAAGGGAGGGGGAGAAGCAGCCCCACAGGAATGCAGTGACGACTCTACGAGCGATTACTATATGAATTTCCTGTGATTTTATGATGAAGCATGTCCACTACTAATTGACTTTCATCTGAAGTTTCATAACACAAACACATTTTGGTTATTAGTCGCAAAAGGCATTTCGATGACGAGTGTCTTGCACTTTGATCGTAGGAGAAGCTTTGGAGTTCGAAACTATGAAAGCAAAAAAAAAACTTTAAACTGTCATGATGGAAGTGTCGCTCGTAAATAAGATTCAAATTTTTTCCTGAAAAAGAACTGTTTAGTTGAATATAAGAGAGGAAAAAACAAAAAATGTTTCCTCTTTGCTTTGTTTTCTTGACGTAGATCGTTCTTCTGGTAAAGAAAGGCTAGGAAGGAGAGAGATAGAGAGAAAGAAAAATTGAGAGAGACAGCTAACTTCTTAAGTTAATGATATTCTTGTAACTTCTCCCTCTCAACTTTTGTGTTTTGTTCAATTTGATCATAGAGCCTTTCATAGAATATCAGCAGGAAGTACAATGGAAGAAATATGTAAATAATTACATAATAAGCCATATGCTTCCGTTTTGCTACATTTGACGTCATCGCGTTGAAGAGGACTTTTTTTTAGCTTTTGCCTCCTACAACTCTATTATGGATACAAAATCCAGGGTCGACATTATTCGTCTTTAATTACTTTCAACTCATTAATTACTCTATTCACCCACGTCCCTCCATCATAGCTGCATTTGACACCATCCCACTCAATGCTCATTTGATTTTTTAATATTTTTTTTTCTGCGATCTGAAACAAAAGATGTTGAGTTACAATGAGTGCAAACATAATTATTTGATCCAATGAGAGTGAAGCTCCAACCTGCAGCCTCGGCTTATTACTTAAAACCCAAAATTAGATACTATTGAATGTGCTCTTTCCAGTCTTCCTTAATCCGAACCCATTCGAATTACTTTTCGAATAAGTTTATACTAAATCATAGAACATCTTTTTGAGCTTTCGGGTCCAGGTGACCCATAGGCTCATATGACCATTGAGAGCTTGAAGATTTATTTAATAAAACATGAAATAAGATAGCGTGATTAAAATTTCCCTTACTCCCCCACCAGGAATTGTCGTCATCCTCTAGTTCTTCAACGGAAATAGTATTTTCGAACATCTTACAACTTTTCATTAAAAGAATGAAATCATTGACCAGGAAAACAAGGATAGATTGATCGCATAAGGAGATCATAAGGCTCTTTGACAAAAGAAAAAATACTGACAAACGAAGATGACTGAGAATAAAGCGAATATGTCCCAATAATAGGCATCTGAATAAATATGTAATTCTTATATATATATATATCTATATCTATATCTATATGTATATATTAAGACAATAAGCCTTGACATCATAGTTTCATGAAAATGCATTCAACTGCATCTAATTTCTGAACACAATTTGTCTTTTCATTAGTGATTTCATACCTTCACTCCATATTTTCTTCTTAAAATTTTTTCAAAAATTCAATTTGCCATATTTCAGACATGAGAAACCAAGACCTTTACGATTTGGATAACTAAAGCTAATGGCGGAAATTTGCAAATCGAACATAAGATGCGAATAATAAATCTGCTCAACGTTATTGTAATTCTATTCAGCTTTAAATATTCATAATCTTTATGTTTTTAATAAAACAAAAATATGAGATTATGGCAAAAATTGGTATACAATCTGCTTCCTGTTCTGTCCCTCAGAAGGCAGCTCATTCAATTAACAACCATATGCTTCAACTTCAAACTTCAAAACATGAGAAATAGCTGATTTCCTTTAAATGACAAACAACCGCTCATGTAATGCGTCAAATGAAAAATGAAAGTTCATTTTCCTTCTCACTCTATCGAATTCAAAGATCGGTTGATGGTCAGTGAATTGCTTGAAATGTCCAAACGCAATAGGAGTAGTACTATTCGTCATTGAATCAAATAGAATTACTTCTAAGACAATGAAAACCAAATACGTATCGTCATTAATTCATTTTTGCTTGTTAATTTTCATTTTTAAAAATTAGATTTTGATTATCGTTCATGTTGCCGTGTGTCAGCCTTACCATATTCGGATAATAGGTAACTTGTGGAATCATAGACTAAAGAGAAAAATTAACATTATTCAAACAAGCTTATTGTCTTCTCTATTATAGTACCATATGAAAACGTCCGCTCTTCGAACATCCACAAATGGATGAATGCTTTTCAATTTTTTTGTTTTGTCTTATGAAACTTTAATAACTAACGTCAATTGTTTACCACCCACCATACGTTTTGAAGAGCTGATTCAGTACGTTAAACTTGAGAAATAGTGAGTAAAAGCCAATTAAGGGCTATTTCGAACTTTTTCAAGAGCACATGGCTTGGATCTTCACATAAATTCAATGAATGCTTCCGTTGAGCATGATTCAGAACGTCTAGTTACCAGAAGACAGCTGCTAGAAGCTAGAAAAAGAAGTATTTGGAACCAAAAGAAAGAGATTTTCTATCAATGATGTCTAAATAACAATATTTTGGAAGGAAAGACAAGTTTCATCAACTAGAAGCTCATTCTCATATATTCAATACGGCAACGAATCATTTGAGTCGTTGTGTTGAACTATCTGGGATTAATCGGGATTTATCGGGAAGAAATGTGACTGGCCTGCCTTGAATTAGGTGGATGAGCTGAAAAAAAAAGAATACGTTTTGACAACAAATAGAATCTGCCCGGCTTATAGTCCACAGAAAAGGTTAATGCAAATTCTTTTGAGCAGAAAATGTAGAACAAACTCATAGAAATCGATCATTTGTAAAGGAAGTTATGAGGTATTAACTGGTACTCGTCACGTCATTGTTTTGAACGACCGCTAGCTCACGCTTTAGGTTCTGAATAGAAATGAAAGAAGAGGGTAATTTTTAAAACTGTGCCCGAAAAATTGATAAGACATGAATAGGAAGAACGCAGAGATGAATTTTGACCCGAACATAACTCAAACGGTGCATTCTGCAATACTTACTCAAAAAAGTTAACAAGCTCGATGGCCGACTAAAAATTGATAGAATGAAGAACTTTGCTGGAGAAGAAGAATTCGATCTGACTCTGTATTCAAGTCGTTGTTCCATAGAAGGACCTGCTCGTCTATATGAATGCTGATGAAAGCATTTCCGGTTGAGCATAACGTGTACGTGCGAAATCGTTCTGCCGAAAAGTTTCATTTATAATTTTCATTAATAAAAAGTTTGAAGCTTCCTATGCTTTTGTTTTTATTATTTCTCGAATGAGACAACTAGTTCAAGTAGTAAAACGTGGATATTGGGATGCTTTGTTGTTCTTAATCAGTTTGGTTGAGCAGAAGCAATTTGTTCATTTTGGAACAACATCAATGGAGGTGAATCTAATTTAAACGCACCAGTTTGATTCAAATTATAAAATGATGCTATGAGAAGAAACCTCTTCATTGCTACGAAGATGTGTTAAAGAATTCTGGGAAAGTATTCACATTTATAAAACGAGAACAATCACCGAAGAAAGTGTGTCAAACTTTCTCCATCTTTCAAAATGTACTTGTATATTCACTTTTATTTTCACAAAACGCAGAAAATCATACAATGTTAGTGAATGAACAGAAACCTATCGCACGAAAAACATTTTTTAGAAATAAGGACCGTGAGAAGCATGAGCTCCGGAATGAGCCTGGTTAACCCAGCCATTGTTGTGACCTCCGAAATCATTTTTTCCATAGCCATAACCGTATTTGGAAGCATCGTATTCGTTGCCGTAGCCATTATGTGAAGCAGCACCTTTTCCGTAGCGAGATTGTGCGTCAGCTTCGTCAGCAGAAGCAGCGTTATATCCTTTCTTATATCCGGCTCCTGATCCATCAGCAGCATGACGAGAGTTGGCGTTTTGATGATCATATCCTATAAAACATAAGTGATACTCGACTTTGAGGAGTTTTATCGGTGGATTGAAACTGAGGATTTAAGAGTAATCAAAGTAGATAGCATACCCTCAGATCCATAATATCCTTTGGAGTAACTTCCTTCAGGTCCTGAACCGGAAGTGAAATAAGAGTATTTTTTCATTCCCTCAGCATCTATAATTGTTGAATGATAATAGAATTCTTCCAATTGAGTTAATTTCTATGTTTAAGCACTTCGTATAGTTTCTTCTCCTCTTCTTAATCTTTCTAATAGAAAAATAACAGAGCAGTGAATGAGTCAGTTGGAAAAAGAAAGGAAAGAGACGCTGAGATGATGATGAGTTGCAGGCCAAACTAACCAACAGCATTACGGGCTCCTTCATCATGGTGAGCACCATCGTACCCATCAGCAGCTCCTTTGCTGTAGTCTGCGTGTCCATCAGCATACCCGTCGTTTCCTGATGAACCCTTTTTGTTTTTATTGATGTTCGAACTAACCATAATTATCTCCATAATATCCTTGATGTCCTGCTGCTTTGTCATATCCTGATCCATCATAACCATAACCATACCCAGCTTGAGCTCCATAACCATCGCCGTTAAGTTTTCCCTGACATAGGTCAATATGATAATTATAATTTCAAAAAGTAACTACATATCGAGAATGATGATCTCCATGATCATCATGTCCTCCATAGTAAGGAGGGATGTAGCTAGCAGAGGCGAGAGCCAAAACGCATGAAAGTACGAAGAAGTGAGACATCTGAAATTGGTTACATATTTTTGAAGAACGGTAGAAGAGAAGCAAAAATGACTTTGATATGATATGTAAAAATTTTTCTGTCTTTATATACTTGTTAGAAAGCAATTGGAATGTATGTTAGTACATCAATCGCCTCATTGATCAGGACAGTTTTTTTTCGTTGAATGTCGTATTCTCCATTATATAACCAGCTTCAAGTGATGTATGTAGCATTGCATGTGTAAGTAATAAGCACAAATGAATGAAATAACCAGATAATAATGTGACATGCAAAAAACCTATACTGTTCCTGAATGTTTTTTTTTCTCCAAACGTTTTTTTCTTCATTTTTCACAAAATGTCACAAGTGATTTTGTTTTGTTGGAACATATCTGTCGGGCTCATTTCTTTTAAGATGTTTTGTGCCCTCTGATGAGTTCAAACACTCGTATGTATATGGGAGGTTGTTCGCCAATCGACACCATAATAATTCTTCAAGTCATTTTGTTTGAGTTCTATTTGCAGGAGAGTACTAAAATAAATTTTCTCTTGCCAGCGTCATCTATCTTAAACCAAATTGGGAGGAAACGGAAAAAGAAAAGCCAATCAACTTAGGTCGTTTCCTTAATTGAAAAAATTCTCACTTTGCCCTTTTTCAGTTATCTAACTGAATATGGTTTTTTAGAAATGAAGTTAACCATATATTTTATTAGTCTTTATATTATTCATACTGACTGTCTTGATTTAACTCCTAAACCATCGCGTAAACCTTTGCTAACGAGTAAAACTATCATAAAGCAGAACGTCACGATCGGATTAGTATATCAGGTAAAAATGTATTTGATACATATAAAACTTCTAGTTAGCATTATGCAAATCGTTCCAAAGCATATGACAAAGCATTCAAAGAAATTCTGAGGAAAATCAATGAAGGAACTGCAGTATCGTTAGTATAGACAAAATTGAACCAAAAGAGTTGATTCATTAAGATCTTTGAGACGACTACCGGAACGTTTCAACTTCACTGGCATTGATTGTATTTTACCCACCGGGGTGTTCTATGTTAGAGAAGTAATCGATTGCATATGTAATCGTTTAGTTGAGAATCAAGTACTTCATATCCGCATATTTCGATCGATCTCACTGTCTTTCAAGGTATCAGTGATTATATTTGCAACTGCTTCTGAGACATACGATTCAACTACTGCTGCGGAACAGTATTTTTTGACAATGGCTAGTCACACTGGAATTCCAGTGCTTGCTTGGAATGCTGATAACTCCGGATATTCTTTCGAAAAGGTATACAGATTGCAATCAGTTTCACTATACTCTCTTAAGAACTTATCATCATATCGCATTATCCAATTAGCCCCTCCCATAGAACATCAAATAAGGTAATCATTTTATTCTGACCTAAATCTTTCCGCAATTTGTTATTAAGAGCGATGATAGCTCTGCTCCAAAGATACAATTGGTCAAAGTTTGGTATCGTAACATCTGACATGGCTGGATCAGAACAGTTCTTGAAGAGTGTTCGAGAAGAAATTGCTGATGCCAGTAATAAATCGGCTAGGTTTCAAAAAAGTTTGAAAAATAACCAGTCCAGGTTCAGATTTGAAATAATGTTTCATTGTAACATTCAAGTAACAAATAAAACAGATCTTGTCACGAAGCTACAAGATCTGAAACAGAGCCAAGCAAAAATTATTCTTCTGTATTCGACCGCAGCTAAAGCAAGAACTATATTTGAGGTATTATCCAATATTTGAAAATGAATTGAGCAACATCCCAGTGAAGCCAACCTAGTCAAATATTATACAATAATAATATGTTTAAGCAAGCGATACCCATCGGTTTAACTACTGATAAATACTTATGGATAGGAACTCAATCTGTGAAAGGTACTCAAACTTCAGTTACCGGAGAATATCAAGCTGGCATGCTGAGTGTGAACTTCCACACAGGTGTACCAAACCATAACTCAAAAACCATAATGTGAATATTTTAAGTTTCGAATGCAATGTTTGCGCCGAGAGATGATGTTATTCCTTTAGTTATACAGTTAGCTCCTAAGGTATACTGAAAAGCAAATTCAGCTCACAACGATCTTCAGCTTTTTGGAGCAGCGTTGCAGCAGGTTCCTATGAATCAAACATATTCTATTCGATCGAACTCTTCTTGTAGACGAGGAGAAAACTCACGATGGAGTGACGGAAAGCATATACACAAGTAGGAAAACTAAAGTAATTCATGAGAACACTCTACTCTCAGATTGATGAGACAGTCCTTTGTAAAAGGAAATCCATTCCATGTAGATGATGGGTATGACTCTTTCTTCTATATTTTCAACGAATACGGCCGTCTACGCAATTCTATATTACACGTATCAAACTTGAGGAAGAATAATAAGGGAACATTGTATTGGGACAAAGTACAAACGCAGTTATTTAATAATCAATCTACTTCCGTATATTAAGGTTGGCACATTCATCAATAATGAACTGAAAATGGCTGACGTGGAGTGGCCAGGGGCCAGAGCTAACCCTCCTATGGGAACGGCTGATAAATTTCATGTGAAAGTATGAACATTGACTTACCGACGTTTATAAGATGTTTTTGAAGGTAGTTACGTTACACGAACCGCCGTTCATTACAGTGTCTGATGTAGATCCTGACACAGGCCGATGCCCTGGAAATCAGGGTTCCATATGCGACTGGGGTGACGTAGAAACACTAGATGAAACAGGAATGAAAAGGTACATATTTCAGTATTTCTGTGAGAAGCATCCGAAATTGAAGGAACAATACACTTTGGAAATGCTGCTCCGGATACTGTGTGGACCTACTGAACAAACTAGCAAGCGATATTGGCTTCACTTATACATTGTACAAGGTTCGAGATGAGAAATGGGGGCTCAAAACAGTGAGTTTTGCCTAGCCATGAACATAATATAATAACACAGGAAAATGGCTGGAATGGATTGATAGCAGACCTCATCAATAACAAAGCTGATATGTGTGTAACTTCCTTGAAACTAAACTCTGAAAGAGCACGAGACATTGATTTCTCTCTACCATTCTTAGAAACAGGCATTGCAGTCATAGTGAAAATCAGAAGCGGGGTACTCAGCCCGACCGCATTTTTAGGTAATGATTTTTCGTTATTCTATAGATACAGGCTTAACAAAGCATCAGGCGGTCAGCCCATCGCGAAGTTTGCCCCAGAAAAGGTAAAATTGGGCCGAGCCGGGGATCGATCCCGGGACCTCTCGCACCCTAAGCGAGAATCATACCACTAGACCACTCGGCCTGTTGTTACCCATTTTCCCCCCAATTTTCATCGTTATTCTATTGATCCAGGCTTGACAAAGCATCAGGAGGTCTGCCCATCGCGAAATTTGCCCCAGAAAGGGTAAAATCGGGCCGAGCTGGGGATCGAACCCGGGACCTCTCGCACCCTAAGCGAGAATCATACCACTAGACCCCTCGGCCTGTTGTTACCCATTTTCCACCCTATTTTCATCGTTATACTATAGATCCAGGCTTGACAAAGCATCAGGAGGTCTGCCCATCGCGAAATTTGCCCCAGAAAGGGTAAAATCGGGCCGAGCTGGGGATCGAACCCGGGACCTCTCGCACCCTAAGCGAGAATCATACCACTAGACCCCTCGGCCTGTTGTTACCCATTTTCCACCCTATTTTCATCGTTATACTATAGATCCAGGCTTGACAAAGCATCAGGAGGTCTGCCCATCGCGAAATTTGCCCCAGAAAGGGTAAAATCGGGCCGAGCTGGGGATCGAACCCGGGACCTCTCGCACCCTAAGCGAGAATCATACCACTAGACCCCTCGGCCTGTTGTTACCCATTTTCCACCCTATTTTCATCGTTATACTATAGATCCAGGCTTGACAAAGCATCAGGAGGTCTGCCCATCGCGAAATTTGCCCCAGAAAGGGTAAAATCGGGCCGAGCTGGGGATCGAACCCGGGACCTCTCGCACCCTAAGCGAGAATCATACCACTAGACCCCTCGGCCTGTTGTTACCCATTTTCCACCCTATTTTCATCGTTATACTATAGATCCAGGCTTGACAAAGCATCAGGAGGTCTGCCCATCGCGAAATTTGCCCCAGAAAGGGTAAAATCGGGCCGAGCTGGGGATCGAACCCGGGACCTCTCGCACCCTAAGCGAGAATCATACCACTAGACCCCTCGGCCTGTTGTTACCCATTTTCCACCCTATTTTCATCGTTATACTATAGATCCAGGCTTGACAAAGCATCAGGAGGTCTGCCCATCGCGAAATTTGCCCCAGAAAGGGTAAAATCGGGCCGAGCTGGGGATCGAACCCGGGACCTCTCGCACCCTAAGCGAGAATCATACCACTAGACCCCTCGGCCTGTTGTTACCCATTTTCCACCCTATTTTCATCGTTATACTATAGATCCAGGCTTGACAAAGCATCAGGAGGTCTGCCCATCGCGAAATTTGCCCCAGAAAGGGTAAAATCGGGCCGAGCTGGGGATCGAACCCGGGACCTCTCGCACCCTAAGCGAGAATCATACCACTAGACCCCTCGGCCTGTTGTTACCCATTTTCCACCCTATTTTCATCGTTATACTATAGATCCAGGCTTGACAAAGCATCAGGAGGTCTGCCCATCGCGAAATTTGCCCCAGAAAGGGTAAAATCGGGCCGAGCTGGGGATCGAACCCGGGACCTCTCGCACCCTAAGCGAGAATCATACCACTAGACCCCTCGGCCTGTTGTTACCCATTTTCCACCCTATTTTCATCGTTATACTATAGATCCAGGCTTGACAAAGCATCAGGAGGTCTGCCCATCGCGAAATTTGCCCCAGAAAGGGTAAAATCGGGCCGAGCTGGGGATCGAACCCGGGACCTCTCGCACCCTAAGCGAGAATCATACCACTAGACCCCTCGGCCTGTTGTTACCCATTTTCCACCCTATTTTCATCGTTATACTATAGATCCAGGCTTGACAAAGCATCAGGAGGTCTGCCCATCGCGAAATTTGCCCCAGAAAGGGTAAAATCGGGCCGAGCTGGGGATCGAACCCGGGACCTCTCGCACCCTAAGCGAGAATCATACCACTAGACCCCTCGGCCTGTTGTTACCCATTTTCCACCCTATTTTCATCGTTATACTATAGATCCAGGCTTGACAAAGCATCAGGAGGTCTGCCCATCGCGAAATTTGCCCCAGAAAGGGTAAAATCGGGCCGAGCTGGGGATCGAACCCGGGACCTCTCGCACCCTAAGCGAGAATCATACCACTAGACCCCTCGGCCTGTTGTTACCCATTTTCCACCCTATTTTCATCGTTATACTATAGATCCAGGCTTGACAAAGCATCAGGAGGTCTGCCCATCGCGAAATTTGCCCCAGAAAGGGTAAAATCGGGCCGAGCTGGGGATCGAACCCGGGACCTCTCGCACCCTAAGCGAGAATCATACCACTAGACCCCTCGGCCTGTTGTTACCCATTTTCCACCCTATTTTCATCGTTATACTATAGATCCAGGCTTGACAAAGCATCAGGAGGTCTGCCCATCGCGAAATTTGCCCCAGAAAGGGTAAAATCGGGCCGAGCTGGGGATCGAACCCGGGACCTCTCGCACCCTAAGCGAGAATCATACCACTAGACCCCTCGGCCTGTTGTTACCCATTTTCCACCCTATTTTCATCGTTATACTATAGATCCAGGCTTGACAAAGCATCAGGAGGTCTGCCCATCGCGAAATTTGCCCCAGAAAGGGTAAAATCGGGCCGAGCCGGGGATCGATCCCGGGACCTCTCGCACCCTAAGCGAGAATCATACCACTAGACCACTCGGCCAGTTGTTACCCATTTTCCACCCAATTTTCATCGTTATTCTATTGATCCAGGCTTGAGAAAGCATCAGTAGGTCTGCCCATCGCGAAATTTGCCCCAGAAAGGGTAAAATCGGGCCGAGCCGGGGATCGATCCCGGGACCTCTCGCACCCTAAGCGAGAATCATACCACTAGACCTCTCGGCCTGTTGTTACCCATTTTCCACCCAATTTTCCTCGTTATTCTATTGATCCAGGCTTGAGAAAGCATCAGTAGGTCTGCCCATCGCGAAATTTGCCCCAGAAAAGGTAAAATTGGGCCGAGCCGGGGATCGATCCCGGGACCTCTCGCTCCCTAAGCGAGAATCATACCACTAGACCACTCGGCCTGTTGTTACCCATTTTCCCCCCAATTTTCATCGTTATTCTATTGATCCAGGCTTAACAAAGCATCAGGAGGTCTGCCCATCGCGAAATTTGCCCCAGAAAAGGTAAAATTGGGCCGAGCCGGGGATCGATCCCGGGACCTCTCGCTCCCTAAGCGAGAATCATACCACTAGACCACTCGGCCTGTTGTTACCCATTTTCCCCCCAATTTTCATCGTTATTCTATTGATCCAGGCTTAACAAAGCATCAGGAGGTCTGCCCATCGCGAAATTTGCCCCAGAAAAGGTAAAATTGGGCCGAGCCGGGGATCGATCCCGGGACCTCTCGCTCCCTAAGCGAGAATCATACCACTAGACCACTCGGCCTGTTGTTACCCATTTTCCCCCCAATTTTCATCGTTATTCTATTGATCCAGGCTTAACAAAGCATCAGGAGGTCTGCCCATCGCGAAATTTGCCCCAGAAAAGGTAAAATTGGGCCGAGCCGGGGATCGATCCCGGGACCTCTCGCTCCCTAAGCGAGAATCATACCACTAGACCACTCGGCCTGTTGTTACCCATTTTCCCCCCAATTTTCATCGTTATTCTATTGATCCAGGCTTAACAAAGCATCAGGAGGTCTGCCCATCGCGAAATTTGCCCCAGAAAAGGTAAAATTGGGCCGAGCCGGGGATCGATCCCGGGACCTCTCGCTCCCTAAGCGAGAATCATACCACTAGACCACTCGGCCTGTTGTTACCCATTTTCCCCCCAATTTTCATCGTTATTCTATTGATCCAGGCTTAACAAAGCATCAGGAGGTCTGCCCATCGCGAAATTTGCCCCAGAAAAGGTAAAATTGGGCCGAGCCGGGGATCGATCCCGGGACCTCTCGCTCCCTAAGCGAGAATCATACCACTAGACCACTCGGCCTGTTGTTACCCATTTTCCCCCCAATTTTCATCGTTATTCTATTGATCCAGGCTTAACAAAGCATCAGGAGGTCTGCCCATCGCGAAATTTGCCCCAGAAAAGGTAAAATTGGGCCGAGCCGGGGATCGATCCCGGGACCTCTCGCTCCCTAAGCGAGAATCATACCACTAGACCACTCGGCCTGTTGTTACCCATTTTCCCCCCAATTTTCATCGTTATTCTATTGATCCAGGCTTAACAAAGCATCAGGAGGTCTGCCCATCGCGAAATTTGCCCCAGAAAAGGTAAAATTGGGCCGAGCCGGGGATCGATCCCGGGACCTCTCGCTCCCTAAGCGAGAATCATACCACTAGACCACTCGGCCTGTTGTTACCCATTTTCCCCCCAATTTTCATCGTTATTCTATTGATCCAGGCTTAACAAAGCATCAGGAGGTCTGCCCATCGCGAAATTTGCCCCAGAAAAGGTAAAATTGGGCCGAGCCGGGGATCGATCCCGGGACCTCTCGCTCCCTAAGCGAGAATCATACCACTAGACCACTCGGCCTGTTGTTACCCATTTTCCCCCCAATTTTCATCGTTATTCTATTGATCCAGGCTTAACAAAGCATCAGGAGGTCTGCCCATCGCGAAATTTGCCCCAGAAAAGGTAAAATTGGGCCGAGCCGGGGATCGATCCCGGGACCTCTCGCTCCCTAAGCGAGAATCATACCACTAGACCACTCGGCCTGTTGTTACCCATTTTCCCCCCAATTTTCATCGTTATTCTATTGATCCAGGCTTAACAAAGCATCAGGAGGTCTGCCCATCGCGAAATTTGCCCCAGAAAAGGTAAAATTGGGCCGAGCCGGGGATCGATCCCGGGACCTCTCGCTCCCTAAGCGAGAATCATACCACTAGACCACTCGGCCTGTTGTTACCCATTTTCCCCCCAATTTTCATCGTTATTCTATTGATCCAGGCTTAACAAAGCATCAGGAGGTCTGCCCATCGCGAAATTTGCCCCAGAAAAGGTAAAATTGGGCCGAGCCGGGGATCGATCCCGGGACCTCTCGCTCCCTAAGCGAGAATCATACCACTAGACCACTCGGCCTGTTGTTACCCATTTTCCCCCCAATTTTCATCGTTATTCTATTGATCCAGGCTTAACAAAGCATCAGGAGGTCTGCCCATCGCGAAATTTGCCCCAGAAAAGGTAAAATTGGGCCGAGCCGGGGATCGATCCCGGGACCTCTCGCTCCCTAAGCGAGAATCATACCACTAGACCACTCGGCCTGTTGTTACCCATTTTCCCCCCAATTTTCATCGTTATTCTATTGATCCAGGCTTAACAAAGCATCAGGAGGTCTGCCCATCGCGAAATTTGCCCCAGAAAAGGTAAAATTGGGCCGAGCCGGGGATCGATCCCGGGACCTCTCGCTCCCTAAGCGAGAATCATACCACTAGACCACTCGGCCTGTTGTTACCCATTTTCCCCCCAATTTTCATCGTTATTCTATTGATCCAGGCTTAACAAAGCATCAGGAGGTCTGCCCATCGCGAAATTTGCCCCAGAAAAGGTAAAATTGGGCCGAGCCGGGGATCGATCCCGGGACCTCTCGCTCCCTAAGCGAGAATCATACCACTAGACCACTCGGCCTGTTGTTACCCATTTTCCCCCCAATTTTCATCGTTATTCTATTGATCCAGGCTTAACAAAGCATCAGGAGGTCTGCCCATCGCGAAATTTGCCCCAGAAAAGGTAAAATTGGGCCGAGCCGGGGATCGATCCCGGGACCTCTCGCTCCCTAAGCGAGAATCATACCACTAGACCACTCGGCCTGTTGTTACCCATTTTCCCCCCAATTTTCATCGTTATTCTATTGATCCAGGCTTAACAAAGCATCAGGAGGTCTGCCCATCGCGAAATTTGCCCCAGAAAAGGTAAAATTGGGCCGAGCCGGGGATCGATCCCGGGACCTCTCGCTCCCTAAGCGAGAATCATACCACTAGACCACTCGGCCTGTTGTTACCCATTTTCCCCCCAATTTTCATCGTTATTCTATTGATCCAGGCTTAACAAAGCATCAGGAGGTCTGCCCATCGCGAAATTTGCCCCAGAAAGGGTAAAATTGGGCCGAGCCGGGGATCGATCCCGGGACCTCTCGCACCCTAAGCGAGAATCATACCACTAGACCACTCGGCCTGTTGTCACCAATTTTTCACCCAATTTCCATCGTTATTCTATAGATCCAGGCTTAACAAAGCATCAGGGGATCTGCCCATCATTATATCCGCCCCGGAAAGGGTAAAATTAGGGACAGGTTTTTTTTTCACACAAGTATTTCCGGTGCCACGGTTCGAATGAATCTAGAATATATAATCTTAATATTTTTAGCACTTTATCACACCATTTCTTCATTGTTTTGTTTAGAACCGTTCGAGTATTCAACGTGGGTTATCATTCTCTTTGTTAGTATCCAGGGAGCTGCTTTTTCCATTTTCATTTTCGAATGGGTGTCCCCATATTCATTCAACATGCAGAAGTACCCTCCTCCAGGTCGTTTTGAAAGATTATTGTGTTATTGAATGATTCCAGATCATAAATTCTCGCTATGTCGATCGTTTTGGCTTGTTTGGGCTACGCTTTTCAGTGCAAGTGTTTCAACTGGTTCGTTTTAGTAACTTGGTTATATTCAACTGTTTGTATACACCATCAGATGTTCCGAAAAGTTCAGTGTCCAGATTCATGGCCTTAGTTTGGGCTGCATTTGGGCTAACATTTTTAGCTGTTTATACTGCTAATTTAGCAGCTTTCATGATAACCAGAGTTCAGTACTATGATCTGACAGGGATTCATGATCCGATGGTTAGTTATACCTTATCTTGTGATTCCTACAAGGTTCATTTTGGCTGGCATTTCCTAGTGATCAAAACCCTCCTTTCCGTTATGGCACTGTTGACGGTGGAAATACGCATGAAACAATGAAAAGAAATTGGGTTAAAATGCATGATTACGTGAAGAAAAACAAATTTTTCCGTATGAACATTTCTGCGGGTGTGGACGCTGTCCGCAATGAGTATGTATGAATGTTAGTAAACGTCTTCATTCTGTTTCAGAGAGTTAGACGCTTTTATATATGATGCCGTTGTGCTAGATTATTGGGCAGGAAAAGATGCTAATTGTGAGCTTATGATGGTTAGTTTTGATATATGAATGAATGTTGAAATTATTAAAGCTATGACTAGGTAGGTAAATGGGCTAGTATGACAGGATACGGTATAGGTTTTCCAAAGAATTCTCCATATACAGCTATGGTGAATCAATATATGTTACAATATCAGCAGAAAGGTTTGTTAGAATAAAAAACCTATGCCTAAATTTGCTTGCTTAGGTGACTTGGAAAGGTTACAAAACTTCTGGCTCACTGGAGCTTGCTCTCCTGATAGTCACAGTCAAACACATTCTGCGCCATTAGGAGTTGAAAATTTTCTTTCTGCATTTTTTTTATTGGCAGCAGGAATAGTTTGTAGATATTATAAATTACATATGATAATCAAGTTCAGATACTGGCAATCATAGTGTTGGGCTGTGAATACATCTATTGCCGACATATTCGAATGGCTTTACAAAGACTGGATCCGCATGGGTGGTGTGGAATAATAAGTATGGTGAGTATAAGAAAGAATAAAGAGTTTACTGCATTCATATTATTATCTGTAGTCGATGGGGAAATCATTAACTTTACCCGAAGCCGTTGATCGAGTTCAAGAATGGCGATCTCGTACTCAATCGTTAGCTAGTAACACGTCTCCAATACCCAGAAGAAAGCATTTTGGGTAATATAATTGATGATTACTTAGGTGGAATAATATTCTTATAGGACAATATTCAAACCAAAGATACTTATTGAAGAGCCGAATGCTAAACGAAATTTCTTACAAGTAGAAACAAATCTGTAGTAATATGTTAATGTTATCTATTTTTAAAACAAAATTTATATGATATTTATTATATGGAATAAGTTAAAATAAAAAGAAAACATTACGCTGCAACGCTTGGTCTTCACTGTTTGTTCTCCTCTTTACTAGATCTTCTCTCGGCTTCTCCTCCTCCTCTGTCTCATCTCGCACCTGACTTCTTCTACTTGCCAGAAAATGAGCAGAATCGATTGAACTGTATATTTATTAAACCTATATTCAAGAAAAAACAATTGAAATGTTTCATTTTATGTTCTCAGCTTTATTTAAGATATAATATTTCATCGGCATGCCAATCATTATACTTCAGAAACTAAACCAATGGATGCCCGCTACTCTCCCCAACCACCACCTCGTTCGTATAGTACGTTGGATGTGGATTGTATGGAGGGATTGGTCGGACCACAACCTCAGAAGAGTCCTTTGACTAAGGTAGAACCTTTCATCAAAACTATTACAATCAGTGTTTACAGCAAGTCAATCAACTCTCCTATGAGATCCCCAAGAACAAGTATGCACAAAATCCATGGAATTATGCACCTGAGTTTCTAAAGGTATGTGAAATCCAACCTGTTGTTTGAATCTTTGATTTGTATTCTTTTTTATCGATTTTGGTTCTTTGTTTCATTGAAACACTAAGTAAAAGTCTCTTAAGAGGGAGAAAATTGAAAAAATTCTTGCTTCCTGTGTTTTACTGAAGAAGCATGTGACGGGGAAATATTTTTTGTTTACATACCATCTCCGTGCGCAGATTCTACTGCTCCGCCGTTGACAGTGTACAAATTTTTCCGAAGAAAATTTTCTTATATGAATAGAAAACAAAGCAAAATGCTCATGTAGCTATTTCATTTGAGGTATTCGGTGATGTGCGTACCCACATTGGTGGAAAAGCAGTGTTTGACTGCGTTCTTTTGGGCAGTCCTCGACCTAAGGTAGATAAAAGCATTGTCTAATGTGAAATCGTTCATCATTTTTTTTCAGGTTTGTTGGTTGTTTAATGAAGATCGACTCCGCTTTACGGATGTCGTCATCGAAGACACATCGGATGTATGCCGTCTAACCATTCCGTATGTTCAGCCACATCATTATGGTTAGTACTCAACTTATTGCGAGAAAAAAAAAAGATTCAGCGTTTGTCTGAAAAAATTTTCTGTATGATTTTGAACGGGAAAAAACGACTTTTTTATTTCAGGAGAATTTACTGTGCTCTGTGAGAATGAAGTTGGAAGAGCGGTAGCATCAGCTCAATTGCTGCCATTGTAATTATAAATTTTTTCTTTTAATAAAAAAAAACAAATTTTTATATGAAATAAATATACAGATGAAAATAATTTTTCAAAAAGCTTTTGGAAGCGAGACTAGCTCTAGTCGAAATCAGGACAATAAAAAGCGTAAGCATAAATACTGTTTAAGATATTTGAATTAATCTTGTCTATAAAATCATTAAACAGGTATACCTCGTTCGAATAGGGAATTGTGACAATGAATGAATATGTTTGAAATATAATAACTAAACTGTATTGTTTGTTTGTTTCAATACTACTCGATTTGAGTCTCCAACGAAAAGACCTATACGGGAGAAAAACACTACCAAGCCAGCAGCTACTACAGCTAGTTGAAACAAATAAAAAGCTATTGAACTGAAGCGCGATTTTTTCAGTTTTTCCTTTCTGAATTCAGAGATCAAAACTTATAAAGAAGAAGATATAATATTTCTCACTCTAATGATTTTGGAATCAATGGTGGTCCTGGCTGTACAGAATACATCAGTGATAAGACCCAATCCTGAATTTGAGTTGGAAACACACTCAAGGGGATGAAACAGAAAATGGCGTCCCATCCAGGAGCATATCTGAATATCATGATCAGGAAAGTAGAGTCAATTGGATAAACCTCAATCTTGGATACATAGCAAATAGGGCATGTTCATAACATGACACCACCCACATCAAATTAGGGTTGGCAACAAGGTTGACTCCCAGCTGCCAAGCAGTTTTGACTAGAAAAAAATGCTCTATCATATTTTGTGCTCATAACATACAATTTCTTAGAAACTCCAAGCCGTATTCCTCTTTGACTTCTTCTGATAAACGACTCCATGTCTTAAAGAATTTTCAACTGAGAAACATATGACAATAAATAATGTACTTTATCCACACGGGTGTTTTGAGCCTGCTCGTTCAGTAAATTGGTTTTGAAACATCCAGGCTCCAGCATGTGTACAGACACACCGAAGGGTCTCAGTTCCAACCTCAGACAGTCCATGTAAGCTTCGACAGCAAATTTGGCTGTGACGTAAGGACCAACGTAGAGACCATGTAGACGTCCGGCTGTTGATCCCATCGTAACAACTCGTCCCTTTACGAAGAAATGGTAACGATAAAAAGAATCAGTTATACCTTGCTCTTTTTCAACATGGGAACAAAAGCATGGCAAACACGTATCGCTCCAAGAGTGTTAACATTCAAGGAATTGACGTATTCATCTGTGGAACACCAATCATCTGGCCCATAAATAGTGAATATTCCGGCATTGTTAACTATCGCATGAAGATAAGCATCCTATCATTAATGAAAATTAACAAAATTGAATAGAATTATACTTTTTTCTCCAGATATTCTTCCACAAACTTTCTAGCATCTTCAACCGATTTCTCACTTGTTATATCCAAACGTAGAGTAACAAGATTGGCTCCACCCTGATTCAAGCCTTCCTTCTCCAATGAATCACATCCCTGTAAAGCATTATACTTTATGTATTTTATTAAATATCGAATGTTATATTACGAAAACTGTTTCGTCAAGTACAAAATATCGAAACTATTGTTCGTATAGGACAAACCCCAAGAGGATGATTTGAAGATAAGGAATACGATCTAGTTTTTTCATCAAAAAAGCATCTTCATCGAATATATACATTCGCTCCAAAACGTAAGTTAATATCACCTTGTTTCATATCACTCAAGGTTGATGATTTCATAAATATATTGTTAGAACTTTGGATTTAATCATTTGCGTATTTGGTTGATAGTTTCTCGAAGTTCTTTAATGACGTTAGTGAACAACGATACTCTACATCAGTGCGATCAAAAATGAAATATTGCTATGTTGAACTTGTTTCGCGTGAACGTTGCAAGTCTTTCTTAAACGATATATATTCTAATCAGAATATTATGTGCTTTCAGATTAACAGAGCATAGACAGTTCAAATTAGCATAAAATAGCTTTCGGGCCTTTTAAGAACATGATGGCTATGGAATGTTTTCTATTTTTTTCTTGAAGAGTTCTAAAACGAGCAAAACCTGTATATGTTATATGTTTGTTCTGTTCTCTAGCACAAAACAAGGTCGAATAGACGAAGCAAAGATCGATCTCATCGAGATCTTCTCTATTCTTTGGGTGTTCAAAAATTAAGAAAAAAAAATGTTTTTTCTAGCTTGACGACGGTATGAACAAGATATTAGATCATACCTCTTGAGTGAAGCAGCCTGCAAAGGTGTTGACTCCTATTTCAGTTAGTTTTAAGGCTAATAATCGTCCAAATCCACTATCACATCCAGTAATGAAGACATATTTTCCTTTATGAGAAATGTAGAAATTTTCCAACAAAAATCGACGAAAGACAAACCATACGCACAAGGCGATAGCTATACAAGCAATAAGATACATCTGAAACATGTGAAGCTATGTATGCAAAGAAGAGAAGAAGCTTAACACAGATGAATATATAAAGACCAAATGAAACGAAAAAATATTTTGTGGCTGAATTTAAAAAAATATGAGAACTGCTATCAGTGATAATGTAATTATTGAGCTAACAGCGTAAAACATTTATAAAATAATTTAATCTAATTCTGAAATAACACACAGGAGCTAGAAGGAGAGAGCGAAAAAAAAAACTTCTTAAATTATGTTTTTAATGAGAAGAGCTAGATAGAGAGTCAGAGAGAGAGTTAGAGAGAGGAAAAGAAATATAGGTAGAGAGAAAGAAAGAGGGAAAAAAAGAAAAAAAGAGAGTGGAAGAGAGAAAAAGAAAGAGAGAGAGAGAACTTGTATATAGATGTTGTGACATCAACTTTCTCACCCACAACGAGTGTGTTCAATTTATTTTATTGTGTTTCTCTAATTATAGATGGGAATGTTATAATAAAATTCTTGAAACATCATGGAAGATTCGAAAGAAAAATCAAATTTTCTTATTAGATTGTGAATATGTTTTATTGTGAAACATTTGCGTCGAAGGCAAATATGGGATGAGCGTGAGAAAAACTTTTTTCATCGAAAAAGATCAACAAGTCTATCATATAGTTAGTTCTTATCTTAATTATTAGCCATATATTTAACTCTTATCACATGGAAAACTATGGACTCAAGATTTTTAAAATCAAATGTTTTTTGGTTTCGCGCTTCCCCTCTAGGCTCGTAGGCAACGTGACGCTACAACCTCAATTGCCAATTATTTCCGAAAGAACGTCATTAGCAGTGTTGAGATCGAAATATCAAAAATAGATAATATTCTGATATAGACTGGTTTTTGTCTGACTTCACTGCATTTTTGACTACTCATAAGATATCATTTGTCTCGCAGAGATTGTTGCCGCAAGTTTGGCCGGAAATGTAAGGATTACATTTGATGTCATAGAAGGTTTGCAACAGCAACAAATAAGATTTAAGAAATCAGGTGCTTCAATGAGGTGCATACTTTGACCGTTAAAGATAAGAATGGGATTGAGGTTGTAAGTATGTCAGTATTGATCTGTTTCATAAATTCTGATCAAAACGGAATTCATTTTTTTTCTTTATCTGAAACGTCCAAAGTCATATATCTGCAGACCTGCCCAACTGTATGTCAGTTTGGAGAAGACGAACTAAACAATTATATTATCAATTTCAAATAAGACAAGGAAGAAAATATTATTTTTCTTGATTATTGAGCACTCTCTCTGATTAGAAACAAAAGAATTTTTTGCTACCGTATTCGACCAAGAAAATAATCAAAAATAGATAAAGGACTGCAACTTCTTGATCAGCTACTGAAGCTCTAAGCGTGCAGCTTTTATATCATTTCACCGAAGTGGCAATACAAACATCTTAAGCTCTTCCTCTAACTATTAGTCACCCTTATAAATGAATCATTTTGTGAGCAGAATTGAAAAGTGAAAAAATGAGATCAAAGAGATCAAGAAAAACGGTGTAGATGAGTAAGAGAAATCAAAAGAGCAAGTCGGCTGGCATTCAGTACAAGGGGTCATCTCGTACTCGAAGCGACCAAACAAACGACTAAGGATAGAAGCGAGAAGAGTAGAACAAACCGATCGACAGTCAGAAACCAGGTCAGGTATTCCTAACAGAGGTTTGGTGTTTGTCAACTTATTTGTTTATTTATTTATTTGTTTACCTTATAATTCAATATAGTGTATGAAAATATGAAAAAAAAATGTGTAAGAGAAATGTTTTCGTTCTCATAGCAGATAAGGTACCTTTTATAACAAGCTGCTTTCAATGGTGGTGAAGGAGACGAAGAATAAGACGAAGAAGGAGAAAGAGACGAAGAAAAAGCGTAATAAAAATTAGTTTTTGAAAATATATATGAAAGAATTCAACAATCTAACGTTGAAAAGAAGAAAAAAAATGAGGCCGATCATCTTTGCTTCGTATATACGAATATGAGAAGTAGTTTGAAAAGACGAATTGCTGACGACGAATGAGACAAACTTAATAATAAGTTGGGTAGGTATTGCTGAAAGGTCAGCAGCAGCAAAATATAAAACGAAACAATTATATTGTGTGTGTGTGTGTGTGTAAATGTAATAAAATAAATTAATTTATAAATTATTTGGATCGTTATGAAGCCATAGTAACGCATATCCCACCATAAAGGGTGAAGCCATTATCAGCATGTCGTCATAAAAAAATTTTTGATGAAATCTTTCGAAGACAAAAATAGAGAGGATTTGAACATTCCAACAAAGAAATAATAATGAAATGTATGAGACGTAGACAGTGAGATTATGCGATGATATTTAGGTTATAGACAACCGTTTTTCAAACTTGCAATCATAAATTAACGTCACTTGGACGACACTTTCGATTTTACGTGAATGATCCACGTGCAAAGCAAATGCGTCATAATTAGCATAGAAAACGGATGATTGACTGCGTGATATCAATTTGAACATTCAGATCAATTGATACACAGGAATGGTTTGGAACTTATCTTACATTTGCAACTGTGTCAAAGGCAAGACTTGAAGATCGCAGGGTGACACTGTCTGCTGCCTGTAGTGCAGCCAACCGTCCTAGCCAAATATAGACGAAAAAGTGGGGAAGTTGACATAGAGCAAGAGAGAAGAATAGACTAAAATGGTACAACCGTTCCAAACAATTGGCAAGGTGTTAAATAATGCGAAAGCCGACAGTGTGATCATCAATGAAGATTCCTATAATATCTTGTTACCGGCTCCAAGGTACATGTCAATAGAAGAATAAAAAAACCGAATGTGACTGTTCGACATGTTATTCTTTTTATTTTTAAGTTCAACGAAACGACTACAAAATATCAGACAAAAATTGAGGGAAAAAAGAAGAACAAAAACCTCAAGGAGAACTGACTATTTGGATACGGACGCACCAAAGAGACTATTCAATACATGTCGTTCAAGTGAAGAGAAAGAGATAGGTTGAGAGGGAAAATAATAGGAAAAGGAGCAATGAGAAAGGATAGAAAAAGAAAAAAAAAGATAAAGAGAAGGGCAAAACAGAAAAAAGATTGGAACGGAGAGGAGAGAAAGAGTGGGCAGTTCCTTCTTCGTTTCATCCCAATTTTATGCGTGGACCGAGTGACCTCCAGACAAACGGAATCCGGTGGGTCCATATTGTTTTGAACAGTATTCTGACCTTTTCTTAAGATGTAACTTTGATTATATGCTAACCAAACATGATCATGCCATTTTCAGTGAACTGATCATGCCACTTCCCCTCATAAACCTTTGAAAAACAAAATTTACAAAAAAAAAAAAAAATTTGCAAAGCATTTGACAAAGATTTTTATTATCTTAAATTATTAGTGAGTATTGATATGAAGATGGATAATATATATGTATGTACCAGTAAAAGGATATTTGATACCAGTTTCTTTTAAATAAAAATGCACAGTTTGAAAGATCACCAAAGATACTCTGTAAAGCAGAATGAGCAAAATGTGACGACAAAAAGGATTGAAGACTTAAAAACAAAGAATATTTTAAGTAAACATTAGATAGCAAGTCATTTTCAATCAAAGTTAATTACTCAAAATACTTAAATTATTAGGTTTTTTTTTTCTTAAATTTTCAATAAAACGTGTAAATGAGATAACAACAAAAAAATGATTAGAAGTTCTGAGAAAATTGCTGACCACTTACGGTATCACAATAACCAGAATCAGGACTAGAAGCATCAGATCGACGTCCACCCAACGAATCCAATAAATCGTTTAAAGCTACGCTACATACATCATTCTTACATGATGAACAGATTATATTGGAGCAGGATGTACATATAAGACCTTTAAATAATTTAAATTCAAATAATCATATGCTTTGAGAAAGTTGTTACCACAGAAGGAGGGAGAGATTCGGCAAGAAGATTCACAGCAGTTATATCCAGTTGTCAAACCATTCACAAATTCTGCTCGGTGATATATTTGAGATCTTCTGAACAATGATGAACATGTAATGTCATTGTATCCTTTTCAATTTACCTTTTTAAAACATTTTTCAAAAGGTTCATGCAAGGCATATTAGAAAAACAAATTGTTTTAACCAAAGTAGAATAATCGGGATAGTTCATAATCGCCAACAGAACGGCTAAAACCATCTTAAAAGGAAATAAAGATGAGGATTTGAATAAAAAAAAGTGATTTTTACCTCTCTTCTTAATACATCAATAATAGAATCTCCATCAGGAAAATCTGTAGAAACAATAGAATACCACTTTAGAAGTGTATCAACGGGTTGAGTAGATAATCTGGGATAGAAGATCATATTTGACATTTAACTACATCGTAGTTACCTTGAACATAATAAAAATTGATGACATCTCTTTATAAGAGAGGGAATTTCATAATGTCTTCCAAAATGATAGAGTAGAGCAAACTTTTCATCTGCAAAAGGTGAATGGTAAGATTATCATATAATCATCGTTCTACTCACTTGTAATTGGTAAAGAATAAAGTCCAAAGCGCGTCGGACAAATGGCTGAAAGCAGGATTTGAAAATCGAAACCAGAAATATCACTAAGAGCACCAAAAGCCATTATATCTGCAATAATAAAGAAAATGGATGAAGATGTAAAGACAAGCTACTTCTGCCAATCCTTTGATTGCTGATGATCTTGTTAAGATGAGGAGATATGCGATGGATATCAGTACGATTAACATATACAACATGTTTATTTTCCAACACAATAGGCCATGTACGATGATAAGATGGCTTGGCGTAATCGACCTTAAATATGAAACATAGTTATGCAATAGTGTTGAAATAAACTTACATTTTCGCCGTCGTCAAGGCTTTCATGGCACATTGTCTTCAAAGCAAGAACTTCTTCAGATACATCAGGTTGTTCAAAGTAATAACGCTGTTGCATGTTTCTTTTTCCAACTACAATATTTAAATGATGAAAATATGAAATGAATGAGATCTCAAAGAGTAACCAACAATCTCATTTGGTAATGAGCGAATAACACATGAAACATGTTGAATAAACAGCCTTATCATTTCAATTTAAATGGAAAAAAAAACAAGGAAAAAGAATAAAAAAAAGTAAATCTGTAGAAATTTCTCAAACAATACATTTGATAAGATAAGAGAAAATCAAACATGTCTATATAAGCTATGATATATGGAAAGATGTGAGTTTTAATGAATAAAATGATAAAGATTCGATGAATGACTCAATCTACGTCACAAACTCTCTTATATAGATATGTGTCAAGGCTTATGAACATACATTTACATATCTATAACTGAACTGTTTTAAGCTGACATAACCTATCAAATGTTAACTTGTGAACTTCCTTTTGAAGTCATAATCCCACGATGTTCATTATGACTTGCCGATGGACATTGTAAACATCAAATACTTTCAAAAAATATGCCATTTATGAACAAAAGTTCCGTTTGATATGTGAATTAGCTCAAAGGATAACCTCACTATATTCGGTGGGTTATGAACATACAAATGAGAAACATTTCCTTTCATCATATTGTTCCCAACGCCCTCTTTGTAGTTTGCTTTCGGAATGGCATCAACTACAGGAGGGATAATTATTAATTAAATATTATTTCATTGATTATTTCAAATTACAGATATGATCTATTGCGGGATAGCAAAAAAGAAAAAGGAAAATCTTACCTCCTAACATCTGAGACTGCCGTTGTTTTTCGTTGAGCAATTATGATGATTAATCTCAGTTTTGAGCTAGTCAGCAGATAAGAACATACTTAACTCATCAAATTTCATTTTTTTCTTCACAATTTTGTACAATAAAATTCTTATTATTTCATAAATGATTCATGTAACCGTAGATGTAGTCGAGTTGCGTTTGGAATCAATTTCTATTAAGAACGTCTCCATAGGCTCCTTAATATGCAAGCTATATATGGAATATATTTACGATCTCCTCACCTTCACTCCTTTTATTCGTATTTTGCCTCTACTAGTCACTTTGAATCCTCCTTTTCTTAAAATTTCGCCCATCTCTGTTGTAACCTATAAAATAGTGTTGACATTGAATGAAACCAAGCGTTTGGCTACATGAATCTTCCTCGGTTGGCCGTATGTATCCATTCGACTTGCAATGTTAACAGTATTACCCCAGATGTCATATTGGGGTTTTTGAGCTCCAATTACTCCGGAAACTAATGGCCCAACACTCATACCTGATAGATGAATGAACATTCTTATTGATTGAAGAGATATACCTATCCGAAGTTCGAAATTTTGGAATGAATCTCTGTTTAGTTGCTCAAGAATTTGTGACATAGCCATAGCGAATTCAATCATAACTGTAGCTCTTCGGAAAGCCTGAAAAATGATCTTTTCTCCTTACGAACGATACAAATTACCATATTATTTGCTCTATTACTAGCACTGTTCTTATTATCATCAATGTAATCCTTAAAAGGAATTGTGAGCTTCAAATTGAATCGTTTTCACTAACACAGTCATCATAATCATAGTCTTGTTCATTCAAACCCGAAGCAGCCATGTATGTTGAGCCAACTGTTTTTATTTTCTCTATTGATGAGAATTTCGGTTTAGATAATAGCTAAGATGGTTTTGTTTTCATATAAAGTATGTGTAGGTGGAATTCCGAACCTTATCGAATTCGCAAACAATTTCATTCAGGAGACGTAAGCATTCTAGCTTCCGAGACGTGTCCCATTGAGACCAAAAATCTTTAAAGTTCGGTATAGATGCGAACATCACACACACGTAATCATGCTGACGCGCATATAATTCCTAAAATAAAAAAAATTGCTATCATCTGATATACAGATAGGCGTTTACCTCTATCGGTCTGTCAGGCATTAGAAATTTCTCGGCTACCGTACTTGGAAGAATATTCTCAATCAGAAGCTTATTTATGTCTTGCATTGTTTCCACATCTCTTTCCTCATTTTGAAATGATACATGACAAGCTGATTCTGCTTTTCGTTCATAATTAGTCTTGAAGAAGAAAATGAATTGTTATTTTCATCAAACAACTCACAATCCAATCAAGGAATAGCAGTAAAGCTAATAGAAAAGTTAAATTGATCAATACTGTTGTCAATTGATAACTGAAAAGATCGATGAAGACATCGCCCTCTTTAGTGCTTCATTTACCTCAAATATTTTTGATCAGGTTTCGCTTGATACACAGGGAAAACAGATAATAGTATAACGAAGAGGAAATAATCTATTGAAAACAGAATGCATCTGTATGAATAAGGAATCCGATAGAGAAGAAAAACTGATGTAAGATGGGAAACACACGCTGAACATATTTGAACGATTAGTGCTTGTTTGAGTATTGTTCACCTGGTAAGAACACAAGCGAAGTGAACGGTTGAACGTTTTCTGATTTGGCTATAGTAATCTTAAAGTTATGTATAGTTAGTTGAAATCCAATATTCAAGAAGTTACATGTGGTCCGATGGTGACAAATGACGACACCAAAAATGACACACTTGTTAACAAAGCATGAGCATATGGACAGAAGTGATCAAAAAGACATAACACTAACAGGAGAAGTACAGAGAAGAATTGTTGTAGCCCCGTTGTTTGTTGCACTTCGGTTCTGTAAATGAGCAAAGTTCGAAAATTTTCTGGAACGCAGCAGACTCACGGACAATATAGTCGAGATATGAGAGAGTTTGATATGACTGATAAAAGAGATAATAGAAGGAACAACATACAATCTGATACATTACAGAGTTTGGCCTTTGAGCTGAACAAAACTGTTTTCTAAACTTAGTGTTTCTAGTTTGTACCTGAATGGCCAGAGAAGGTATGGTGAGACCTGTATCCTCGGATTACGGCAATTGAAGATGTTGTTGATACTGAAGATACGGATCTAATGGGATATAATCGACAAGCTTACTTATTAAGAGAGAAATTTGTTAAATTGTTCTCAATCAATGTCATCGATTGAATTGTATTACTAAAATGAGGTCTTCGAGGAGTCTCGTCCTAAATTATGTCGTCATCATAATATAATAGATTGAAACAACCAATAGTGTGCTTGGATCATGACTAGTTGATGACTTCTTCCTCGCAAAATTAGCGAATGGCGCATCAGCACCCCAAAACTCGACCATTTTCGAAACCTTATTTGATGATATAGTTAACAAGACTAGACTAATCTCTCTACCTTTGCTTTCATACTCTTTCTTCCTTGATTCGTTACAGTTCCTGGCGACAATGTGTTTTTCTCGTCCGGACTACAGTCGATGTTTCTTCTTAAAATACAAAACCAGTGATGTTACTTAGTTTCTTGAAAGGTACCTGTTGCGGTAAATAGAAGCTGTTCTCTCCATCATTGAGGTCTTATCTGGTAGGATGTGATACGTTGCCTCGCCGTAAGACAGAACGTGCGGGTCATCAGATCTGAAATCAAGGTTCCAACGTCAACTTAGTTAATTAAACGAGTCATACTTGGCATCAACGATGCAGTAATCTCCCAACAACATATCTTTTGTAGTCTTTGTTATGTGCACAGCGCTGAAAGGAAGGTTTCTGATGTAGTTCACAGCATTTCTTACCCAGGAACCCCTGCAGATTCCATATGATTTGCTAAAGTTACATCATCGCTCCAAATATCAAATTGCCATTTTCTTAAGCCCAAGATTCCGCACAGGACACTACCCGTATGAACTCCTATTCTCATATTCACATCAACTCCAGTGGCTAACCGAATTTGCCTGTCATATCATTGTTTGAAATGTCAATTTGATTATTCTTTTCTACTTGATAGTTTTTATCATCTCCAAACCCATAACAACACACATGTCAGCATGGTTAGGTCGATTTACAGGCATCCCACTCACGCAATAATAGCAGTCTCCCAGGAATTTAATCCTCATGCATTGTAACCTCTTAAATAAATTGTATTATTTTTAATGAAATGTTTTTATACCTGGGCATCTCTATCAAATTTGCTATACAACTCATTCAGAGTTCGTACTAAGTCTTTCGCTGTTAGTTGAGCTGCCAATACCGTAAAGTTCACAATGTCAGCAAACAGAATACTTAAAGCTCAGTAGAAGGCTTGTTTTCATATTTTGAATTACCTGACATTATCATGAACTTGTACATGTAAGTCATGGAATAATTTGTGATGTTTGAAATTAATTCTGTTGGCACTACTAGATTGCACTATGGATTTTGACACTTTATCAGCCAGATATGCGGGTATGACAGAGAGGAGAAGCTGCTCCTGTAATTAATAAGTTGTTCAATCAGTGATTTCTCAATGATTTTACTTGTCTATCTTTCAGTGTTTCAAGTTCAGTTCTTCTATATACAGCTTCTGTTAGTTTCAAAGCGATGTCAGCTCGATTTCCAGCTTCATTTGCATCCGCTATCATACCAACAAAGCTGATAATCAGGGAATGTAGAAGAAACGATACAATCTGAAAGCAATATTCCACAATGGTATATGGAAACAATCAGAAAGTAATTGCTGTTAAGTGTATTAGAAGCTGGAATCGCTTTTTTTTCCTTTTTCTCTAAAATAATTGCTCCGATTAATCAATATATGAAGTCATTAATCATGTTAGGAAGACCGCAATGCATTTCAAGAAATGTATTGCTTCATTGAGTAATGTAGGAGCAAAATCATAAATCTTACCGAACATAAGAATGTTGAATCGGCTCGAATAGCTTCCCAATTGAAAAAAAGAAGCAGAAGAAAGCTTGAAAACATCCAGCATACTGATAATACTAAGAATAATCGTCGATGACGAGGTAATATGAAATATTGAACAACTGAAAACGTTATGATATATCATTTAATTCTCATTCATTTATATATTTTGATTAGAAAGCAACAACTTATTTTCTCATACTTCCTTATGTTGTCTTTCACAAGACAACACCAGTGTTCTCTCGTGAAATTAGCATAAACTTCATGAATCACGTAGAATGTCTACATCCGGGCGCCCACTCATTTTAACATTTTTTCGCACATCGACTGGTTGTTACTTTTTAAACTTTTCTTCCTCTTTTTTTTTCATTAATTGTTTTTACTTTTAGAAATATAATGAAATACCTGAAGCAATAGCCAGACTAGTGTATAAGGAGCTATGATCATATTCATGTAAGTGAATTCTTTCCTTAAAAATTTTTCATAATTAGATCTTAAGTGGATTGACTTACTTTACTGACAAACAAAACAATAGGAAGATGTAATATCCAGACAAATGCTGGAAATAGCGTTGAGGTTAATAATGATAGAATAACGAGACCAAAGCTACCACGCTTAACAGTATAATATAAGACCTCAAATACATTTACATAAGACTCAAGCTTCATGTTGAAGTTGAAGAAAAGTTGCGATACAGAGTTAAATAAACAAATCTTTACCTGCTCACGAAATCTTATGGAGAAGCATGCCAGTATGAGATAAACAACAAAAACAATTGATAGAGAGAAACATAATGGTCCCCAGGCTTTCACCTGAAACGATTTATGATTATTAGAAAGATCATTTCGTTGAAGTAAGTCTCTATTTCTTTCTTTCTTGAAGTTCAACGGTCAAATTCGTACTTAAGACTAAATAAATAAGGGCATATATACTTGATACTCGTGTGAAAATCTTCCAGCTACTCCAATAAAATCTTGATTATTAGAGAGCTCTTTTAATTTTTTTTCGGTTTCTTTATTCAAAGAAAAAACGAGAAAAAAAGTTTTTAATCTTACCGTCTTCTTATTATCCTTCGAAAACTCATTGTCTTCTTTTGCTATGACAAGGATCTGCAAGCAAAATGAACAGCTATGACAGAATTCTAAAGAAAATCAAGCAACCTCACTGATTTCTGAGAAATAATAAACAACGAAAAGCTGTGCAGCAGCATATATTAGCATCCAAAAATGGATTGTATTGAGACGAGCACGATCTAAAACTCTCCAATGCCGAACTAGCACAGAGCGAATTTCAGCTCGAGTGCTGTTAGCACAATCCACCACTGTTGCCATGTAGTAGATCTGGGATTGAACTGATTTTTAAATGTATACTTATATATAAATATGTATGTATATATATCTGAAAGTGGAATTTAAATGTTCACAATCATCAATTGAAGCTCATAAAGGGTAGATAATGAGTTTTAAGGAAGAAAAAAAGCAGCCGATGGAGTTTCAAGTAAAACTTATAAGAATTCGGAATGAAAAGAAACACGACCATGTTTGTATAAATGTTCTTTGTGAATAATATGTAAATAATAAAAAAGTGACAGGCAATGAAAAAACAAAACAACAACGGAAATATGACTTTTTTAAAATATCAGCCAAAGAATGGTTTTTCTTTGAGATTTCTCAATGGGAAAATCCACGTTCCAACTAAATGAGATTGCTTTTCATGACCCTCAACGTGTTGCTCCGCCCCAAGCTGAAAATTGATGATTTGACGGGGCCGAATTCATCTTTTTTTTTGTACTAGATGAAAAAATTATTTATTCCGTCATCGTAAACGTTGTTCTTTTATTTGTGGATAATTTTTTGGACAAGTTCACTACTCGTCTTTATTTGACTCGAGGGAGTTCAGCATGCTGTTTTGAAATTCTTTCTCAAAGCTCTTCCTCTTTAATAATTTGAGTATGCTTTTTCAGAATTTTGATTCTGTTCTTTAGCAATAAACAGGAGAATCTTCATTCGCTAAACATGCCGGCAGAGTTCTTCGGAAGTTTTTGAAACACGATGTAAAAAGTGAATATTCAATTTGTGCATTGAAAGGATTTAAATTTCAAGCAAGAAACGAAAAAAAAAGAAAATAGTTCATCTGAATAAGGAGAGCTTCTTCAAACATATTCCTTTCAATCAGGTGTTTGAAAATGAAAGGTAGTCGTAACGCTCATATCTGATTTTCAAACTTCGTCATTATAGAATCAGAGCAGGAATATTAGATGACCTTTGTCGCATTTCCTATACAAATATATGAAAATCTCTGAGTTTACCATTTTCTTCTGAATTAATGTTCTTTCAAAACACCTATTACTCTATCGCTTGCATCTAAGTGAATATGCCTTCCCATTTATAGAGAATAGAGAAAAATAGAAAATGAGATCTGACAGATCTTAATTAAAGTTGGGAGCAAACTTGGTAACGGCAATTCTATGGCTTTAGAATGTTAGAGCACAAGTCATGTTTCAAACTGTGAAGTCATCATTTCAACGAGATGCCTTTTAGAGCCTAAATGATGGCACAATCGACGATGGGCCTCTTGTGGTAATAGGTCTTGGCACCTTCAATAATCGAGAAGGGATTAAATCGGCGAGCAAGAATAATGATCTACTGAGCATTCAGAACATTATTGTTGATCAACATTTGGAAGAAAATAAATGAAAAAAAGATTCAAATAGATAAGATATCAAACAGTGCTCAGAGTTGCCAAGAACACACACTCACAAACGGCTATTGAACAAGTTTTACCCTTTGCTTTTCATTCTGATTGTTTCAATAGACTAGCCATCAGAATAATCATTGAAATAAATCAAGCATAACAGAGGTTGAACAGAAGGCACTTGTTCGACGTTATGGTCGCACCTAGACAGCTGTATTGAATGCTCAGAGCTTCGCTCTTTGATTCTCATTTTTTTGAATTTCAATCGTTTTATTCAAACTTCGGTAAACATCACTAGACTTAAAGAACAGAACAGACTTAAGGAGATGATGACAAGATTGACTGAATAGAAAAGAAGAGAATATGCAAGAGGCAACAGAGCAAGGAAATACGGCAGTCATTGATGCTATTCTTCTATTCTTTGTCTCTTTTCCCCTTCTTCTACTAGCCTAATAAGGAAATTACAGAGCGCCTCTATACCTTCCTAAACGAGACACTTATATCGTTGAATAAGTTGAAATAATGACATCAAAGTCGTTTCGTTATTTGATTAGGTCAAAGGAGGAACAGAAATTTCGAAAAGAAATAATAGCTTATCTTAATTACTATTCCAATTATTCTCTTAGTTATCTGAGTCAAACATTTCTTCCAAGGAATGCAAAGCTGCTCATGAAGGTTGGCAAATGTCTTGTTTTCGAGTAAAAAATATATCTAGAGTTCTTAAATCCTCAAGAGGAAAGACAACTAGGTCTCAACGACAAATTGCAGCGGATCCGTCACATTGTTAACCCTCTCTACTACATTGATTCCAAGAATACAGCTGTGTTTATAGCTCCAATGGTACCCATTATATATTTTGATTCATTCATTAGGAAGACACGTGGAAAAGTATTGAATGTCGTAGACTTTAAACGACTTTTCATTTCAGCCATGTGAGATGTGAAGAGCGGTTGTTTCAGATTAGCTCGTTTCCCATAAAGTTTTTTTTTCCTTTATCTTCAATTTGGTTTTTATTTCGCTACTTTTTCATTTTTTTTGGTTTCATTTTTAACCAAAACGATTTTACTTTTCGATTCAACCATTTAAAGCTTTCTCAAACATTTTTATCCAAACAATTTATAATCAATTAAACTTAATTTCCTAATGATTTTTCCTGTCATTCATATCGTTCTGCAACGATGATTTTCATTAGCATTGGGAGCATTAGTGTGCATCATCAGCTTTTTCAAATATAATTCAGTATGTGTCTAAATTCATTCAACACATCCTTCAAACAAAATAACGACAAATTGATTCTGCAAAACAAGGGCGCTACACCTCGAACCTCCATGAATTCCATTTTATTTTTTCTTGTTCCTATGGTACGACCATAATCTTCATTATAACTGAATTGTATTGCCAGAATATTGTCCTTCATACGAATTTACAAGGAACAAAAAAATCATTACAATAACATTTCTTTGATCTCTTAATAATGTCAATTCACAGGAGATTCAATTCGGCTCTTTTGGCACAAACATTTTGTTGTTTCATCCTTCGTTGTCCAACACTGATTTCTAATACTTCTTTTTAAAGAATCAATTTTATTTCCTTCTGTTTTCCGAGGACGTGTTGGACTCCAACCGTTGAAATTACCAAACATTTGGGATCAGCTAGACATGGTTGAACTGTAATGATGATGAAATGCTCATTTGGAATGATTCTTGCCAATTGTTGTAGAAACATTAGCACGAATTTCTATGCCCACTCTATTATAAATACTTGAAGAAAATGCCATCGAAAATATTTTATCACGTCATGGAAAAATCACAAAAAAAATAGAAGATCATAGGTTTTTGAGGATCGTGAGTTGAGATGCTTTGAAGTTTGGCTAGATTACAAGTCTGAAGATAATCAAACATAAATTACTTAGGGAAAAAAGGGAACAGAGTAGTGAAAACGGAAATACAACCCAAGTCAAACTCGGTAACGGAAAACCTGAAAAGATGGAAACGTATGTTAACATGAGCATAAGCAGTTAATATAAGGGCCAACGTAATGTTAAAAAGATAATCGTAATATATAAGAGATAGGAAGACTTGTATAAACATAGAAGTCAAAACGCATATGAACGCTGAAACAATTATGGCACTGACAACATTCAAATCACGTAGAGCTTGGACACAATAAAATGAGTGCATAAGGAATACAACAGACATCAAAGCAGTCACTTCGAAGCCACTCTCAGAATCATACTGAGCAGAAAAAACTGAAATGTTAATTAAATTATGTTTTTCAAGTTAATAAGTGTTAATTGAAGTTGAAAGTGTCAACCTTGTTGCCAAGACAACAAACGCACACATTCATAATGGAGTCTACACTCACCCATAATGAAAGCCAATGAGGAGACAGTGAAGAGTAGAAGTGCAGTTATATTGTAAAAACGTTTAAATCTAAACTTTTTTAGTAGAAATCCGCTTAACAAAAATAAGAAGATTGTTAATGGTACAGGAAAAACATGCTCCTGAACAAATGGACGGACACCAGGAGTCATATGTAATATAAAACAAGCTGAAACAGAATCAAATGACCCCAAGTTAGGAAGGACGAACCGATTGAAATTAGTGCAAACTGTAGAAAAAGTAGAAAATATACACGACGGAGGTAATACATTCTGTATCTAAGAGAAAGAGTTCCCGCGGGAGGAGCTCGATTTTTGTTGACCAAATGTGGTAATTCTATTGGTTGCATAAGTAGCTTGACAGATTTCAAACCAGAGCCAAGTAGCCGAACCATCGTATAAGACAACTGAAAAAAAAAACTAACGTTTGAGAAGGCTGGGTGATGAGAAAAATAATGTTAATGCCAATACTAATGGCATCAATAACATGCAGCTCCATCTAAGCTTATTCACTTCAGAGCATACGTAAAGCTACATCCGCAATATTTTCACGCAGACGTCCTCCAAATTTTGAACAAAATTCGGTTGCTTGTAATTATTTAAGAGTGAGGATTCATAACTGTTCCATTCAAGTGTTACTGTCAATATTATGATTATTGTATCATTTTCAGCATGATCACATTACGGGTAGCACAAAAGTTGAGGGTTTTGCCTGGAAAGCTAGGTAACATTGTTTCTAGTCGGAAGAATAGTAATAGTACAATAAATAGGATTAAAGATTTCGTATTTGCGGTAAGCACAGCTTTTGTATATTCTAATATCGTGATTGTTTCAAACAGACAGAGAAAGAGAATTTCCATGATGATTTTGTTAAACGTTCTCATAATTGGGATGGTATAGATAAGGATAAGTATATGCTCATATATAGAGACATAGGTTTCACTTGCACTATTTCATATCTAATTCAACTGCTTAGGTGCTTCTCGGTCTTACTTACTAGTTTCAACAATTGTTCCCATTTCTTTTCTCGGTGCTTTATACATTATATGGGATGTTTCGACTCATGAAAGAGCTGATAGGTCTGATGCAGTTATTCGTCTTCAAAAAGATGCTGAAGATGTAAGTGCATACCATCCATCATTATGTTATTAATCATTTCATAGCTTGGAGCTCTTATTGTATTGCCGAGCATTGCTTTGGTTCTCGTAACAGCACTCGTTCTTCGAGTACATAGATGTCGGCTATTGAGGTTTTAAATTTAGAAATAGATTACTATTGAAGTGATATAGGATTTATCAGGACAAGAAAAGCTTGGACGATTATGTAGCAATATCTTCAAAAGCTATTGTTGGTCAGGAGCAAGTATTTTTTTTTGATAGTTCATATCGAACGATTGATTTATCATAGGTGAAGTTCAACCGATCTGTTGCTTCAGCATTCTACTACGCAGAAGACCAAGGTGATGTACTAAGAATGGCATTGCATTTTCTTTTTGGAAATATTCAGGTTTGTTACTCTACGTTATCTGATTTTTCTCATATGCTCTTCAAATTCTCAACTTAACAATCTGCATTTGTCTTATCCTCTCTTGCTGCTTCGCACCGCCTTTCAATGGGGCGTATTGATAACTCAGATCAATTTCTTTCAACCTCCTCTCTCGAACTATTTTTCTTAAGATTTCACTGATCTTGCAGATTGAGTCAAAAAAATATATGGTGATGGATGACTGCTTCCGAGCTAACAACTTCCGTTCTTATATGCTAAACGAGACCAGTGTTCCTCCCAGAATGGGAGGACGAATCAGCTAAGTTTGTTCTTCGAAATATTTATCTCTTCATATCTCTGTTGTTGTTGTTGCAGATATTTTCTGAGACAATTTCATTTTGTTATATAATATATATTTTTATCTCCAAATACTGGTATTAGTTGTAGATAGTTATTAGTTGTTCATTAGGAAAAAAGCATTGCCCGATGATAAACCCTTAACGGGATTGATTGTGTAGTATGAACGCATGATAAATTTCGAAATATTTCATTCTTCAAATTCATAATAAGAAATTTAGGGGCTACTGCTTCAAGTTGAAACCCTTTACTTTCTCTTTCATAGTCATGATATTCAGCTAGAGTTTAAATGATTCTGGAGAGACTGGGAGAGCTGAAAATCTTTATTACAATACCGTTCTAGAAAGCTTTATACCTCCCGGAACACTTGCTCCGATAATGTTGCTTCTTCTCTGATTATGCTCACGCACATAGCTTCATTAGCTGTTTCGTAGAACTCTTTCGCTATAACTATCTCTTAGTACTGATTTCCTCGAATGACTTACTGTAAGAGGTTAGACAACCTGCTAGTTCATTAGCAGCAGGATTGAAATTTGTTGGAGGTTTGGCACCTGTTATTATAAATGTTACATTCTACTGATATGTTAAAAGCAACCTATCATATTTTTTCTAGGAAAAACGTAGGCTGTTACGAAACTAGGTTGGGAATCCCCAGCATCTTTTTCCCAGTCTGGTCCATCAGTTCGAATTGTTGGAGCACGAGTCATAAAAATGTTATGAGCTTGCCCTGCATCCGAGAGCAACTTGGTGCAGCAAGTCAGATTTCTATAGGGTCAAAATTACAAATGTGTAAACGGATTATCTAAAAAAACTTGTTGAACTGCTGGTAGTCATCTTTTGATTTGAGCTGAAACGCAAACGCTTGGCATAGCCATTTAGGGGGTTCGATGACGTAAACTTCCGAGTTCCCTAATTTTGAAAACTTCTAGAGAGAAATTGATAAGTTCTCTTCTAGTCAACTATCTCCTACTCTATAGATCAAATCAGATTTGTAGGGCCAATATAAGCAATGTAAATGAAGGTGGTTGACAGAGGCCTAGAACATTTTTATGTTTTATTTGTAATACGGTTTACCGTACCTGTCCAAGAACACTGTTGAAAAGAATGTTGAAGTCTATATCATCTACCATAAGCATCACATCAACCCCCAATTGGATAGCCGTTGGTGTCAGAACCTCAATAGAATAGCACTTATGTAATTCTGTGGTTGTCAAACTTGGGGGTAGCATTTGTTGACCGATGGAACTATCAAGCTATGATCTCTCTCTAGGGGACTAGCATTAACAGCTACGATATGCTCAGTAGAACAATCTTCCTCATTTGGGGTATCAGTAGACTTCAGATAAAAAAGTATCTGAATCAGGACTTCAGTTCACTTTTTTTTCGAGAAAGTCTATAACTTCTTTAGGCAAAAGTTTTGTGAAGTTCCATTGGGTTGAATCAAAAGGTTCTTTGATGTGTTCGAACTTTAAAGGTTTTCTTCTTAGTTCTCCTCTATCAACGTTAAGCTGAAATGAAGTTAGAAACTCAAACCATCGAGATATTAGTTACTTGCATGTCCATATTGAAATCTCCACCTAAATTTCTATAAACACAATTCAAATTATAATTGAAGGCGCCTTCTGCTCTTGCCATCTCCCATCTTTCTCTGAGTAAGCTTTTGAACTGAAATAATTTACTTGAAACTGTAGAATTGTTACCAACGGACAGTTTTTTTTGGGTTGAGTTCACTTCTCTCCACAGATTCTTGGTCAGCTAAGTCGAAAAGGAAATCATTAGAGGAATATTGTAGAACGGGTATTGAAATGGGCGGGAATCCTATCTAGAATGTACTGAATGCCTTCAGAACTCAGCGGCTTACCTCCTTCTCCGGAGTGTTGCTATTCAAATCGTTGTTCATAGTTGAAAGAATTGCCTATTTTGCTACTTCTGAAATCGTATGAAAGTCTCCGACAATTTGCATTCTTTGTGACAAACAAACAAATAAAGCGAGTATCTATGTTTTTCTTATTTTCTATCAGTCATGTGCTGCTTCTTTCTATTTTTCCTTATGGTGTTTATATAACTTATGTTTGTTTCATAGTTTTTGAATTGAACTGATGAGCGATCGTCGTTTCAGTTTCTCTCAAGCGTTAAGAGTAAATCATATTAACCTATGACGTTTTGAGTGAAACATACTCTTCAGATTTATAAGAACGTTCTCAATAAGAGAAGTGGAGAACAGCGAAGAAATATGGCGTGGCAATGTGGAGGTTCAACTAATGAAGAACTTGTCAATAACTTATACAGTTAATATGATCAAAATTTAAAATTTATATACGAAGAACATTAAGACGCCAGAATCTTTTCGAGCGAACGAGTTCGAGAAGCCATGCTCGCTGTTGATCGAGGAGACTTTGCATCGTATATGCCGTACAATGATTCTCCACAGGGGATTGGCTACCAAGCAACAATATCAGCACCTCATATGGTAATAACCCTGAAGTATCAGTCTATTAACAATCTTCAGCACGCTTCCGCTTTGGAATACTTGAAAGACCACCTTGTATCAGGAGCAAGAGTTCTAGATGTAGGGTCAGGAAGCGGTTACTTGAGTGTTTGCATGGCTATGATGGTAAACTTTTTTTCTCGCACAAGACATTATGTTCGTAATCAGATCGGTGTAAACGGAAAAGTGATCGGGATCGAACATATCCCTGAGTTGGTCAGACTATCGAACAACAATACGAATAAGCATCACCGTAATCTATTACAAACAGAACGACTTCAATATGTGGAAGTAAGTAATGCAATGAACGATGAAAATAATATTGCTTTAGTAAGAAAACTTTAAAATAATTTGTAGGGAGATGGACGAAAAGGATATGCTCAGGGAGGCCCATACGATGCAATCCACGTCGGAGCAGCAGCTGAAACAATTCCCAAAGCAGTAGGTTCAAAAAAAGAATAATGGAAATCAAAATTATAAGTTGATTGATCAATTGGCCGAAGGTGGAAGGATGCTCATTCCTGTTGGAAGGGAAAACGATGGACAGGTACAGTCATATTCAGGAGAAAATTATCAATATTCTCCCAGGTCTTTCTCCAAGTGGATAAAATTAATGGACAAACAACCGAGAATGTAATCGAGCATGTTATCTACGTGCCCCTAACCAGTAAAGAACATCAGTTGGAAAAAGAGTTTTGAATACTCTGTTCGCTTTAAACTCAGTTTGTACATTGTCTATTTGAATAATAAAGGCTATAACCGTAAATCACGTGTAGTGTAATGAAAGCAAAATTAATTTATCAAAATAATTAGGAAAACATGCGGTACAAAAGATGGTCAGCAATGCATATAACTTAGAACTCTTCCATGTCATCAATGGGAAGAGGTGGGAAATCACCGCAAAACACGCTTGATGGTCTGGCAAATCCTCCGTACTTGTCCATACATTCAAAATACCTTAAAGTTACAATTAATCAACCGACCACAGTATAGAATGGCAATGTTTAAAGTTGAACAGTCAAACAGAAACTCACCGAACACCCTCGACTTTTCCATCATGCTTGCCATATGGTTCATCATACTTAACTCCTACCCATACACCATCTTTGAATTTTGTGGGACCAACAAACATGACTTCTCCTCTGCGTTCCATTTGTCCTTGTATTCTCACTTCACATCGAGATCCTACCTATATGAATGATTGGAAAAAAATGTCAAACAGTTAATACTTACCGTTACTTTCTTCACAGCTTCATCATTGGCCGCTTTTGCGGTACTATCGTTGGCTTGAACTTTCTGAGAAGCCATCATTTTTTTTTTGAATTCTCGAACACTGTCTGTAATTATTTTATGAAGAAAGCATAACTATACAAGCTAAACCTGTTCTTTGTGAGTATTTTTCATCACTCATTTCATATTTCTCTACCATGCTATCGTCTTTTAACTCTTCATTGCCTCCAGTTGAATCAACTGCATGAACTCTCATCCCTAGAAACCACAGATGAGTTGAAAAAAGGAAATGAGGATATGACGAAGTAGAGAATCAAAAACCAACCAGACTTAATACCGAGTTCTTCCAGAGTCTTGTCATCTTCAGTGAGTGATTTAACGAGCTTTCCATCTTTATCAAAAAGTTCAAGTCTGAGCTTGTTAGCCTCTGCGCCAACAATAAGCTCTAATTTTAACTAAAAACTATTGCATTAAAGATGTATTCTATATCGAAACAACCTTAAAATCTTCAAGTTTCATTGTGGAAGGATATCTCTTCTCATAAGGGAATTCAGTGACATTTGTGGAAACTTCAATAGCTAAAGCCATTTGAACCTGTAAATAAGATACGATGATATGAGGATACGATTTATGAAGTACATATTTACATGGAAACAGATCTATCGTAACCCTGTACGACACATCACAAAACTCAAATTTGAATTAGAAGAATAGAAATGTAACGTCACGTACGCGTATGAACGTTCGCTATGTGCCTGGAGTTGAAAAGCAAAACGTTTGTGAAAAGACTAAGATGTGGGGGTTGGCATGTTAATCTATTCGGAGCATATGGTATGCATTGAAAGGAAACTGTGACCCAGTGTACCAAATCAATAATGTATCCATAGTGACCAATACAGCGAGATCTTTAATTAGTTTTTGGAACCAATCAATTTTCCCTCTCTTTAAGACCAGCACGAAATTGATACTGCGGTGTTTTGCTTATTGAAAGGATCAGTCTTTTTTGAAAGAACTTCAGCGTTTCTCCAGCTTCTTCTTTCCTTTATTTAGTCATGCATGTGGCCTTCGATGAATTTTTCATAATCAACCCATCAACAAGTCGTAAAAGGACAAATTACTCGTTTTTTCCACATGGAAACTGTTCAAGTCAAGATGTTCGTTCTTTCACAAGTTTTGTTACAAAAGTGTTTTATTGCGAATCACATTTCTTGTTTCAGAGCATGAAATTATTAGAAAATACAAGAGAACATGATTACTTAGAATGCTTATATTGCTATTATTAGATTTGGGTTTTATATTGATCAGATGATGATTAATGTCTGTATGGTATACGTCCGTCTCCACCTTTGCCTCCCATATAAGCTGAAAAAATAAATGAATATAGTTCTTTCTAATTGAATTACTTGAACTGCTCGGACAGGAATTAGGAGCTACGCAAACTCCTTTCTTGTTACGGAAGAATCCATCTTTGCAAACGCAAGCTGGTGGGTTGCAAATTTTCACACAAGCTACGGGTCCCTAGAAACATTTTTCCATGCGCGAATGGAAGTTTCGACACTCACTTTTCCAATATGCTCGCATTTAGCTTCACATAAATCTCCACATGGATTTACGCGCTCAGTTGAGGGGCAAGAGAGATTGTAAGAATTGTTGTTATTATCCGGTGGAGGTTCATCACCGTATCCATCTAAAATCATACTTTCACATGATGATTCATATAAACAAGCTATCACTTTGGGTGGTACACTGATCAGCACTGACACACTCGCCACTATCATTTCGATAGAACCCATCCTTACACATACAAGCAGGAGGATTGCAGATTTCAATACATGCTTGAGGCTTAAAATAGTTAGTTATGAACTGTTTTCTATCTTTCTATGCTAACCTCATTCACAAATTTGCATTTCTGCTCGCAGAGGTTTCCACAAGGACCAACAACTTCATTTTGTTTAGTGCACACTGAAAAATCATAGTTCTATATATGGAACAATTTAAAACGGGCACCTGGTGTTTTGGGAGGGCATTGATTAGCAGTTACACAGTCTCCGTTCGCGTTTCTGTAGAAGCCAGATTTGCAAGCGCAAGCCGGTGGACGGCAGTCAGCTGTACAAATACGAGGCTGAATAGATACAACAAAGATGCTTTTGAAAGAAAATCAGGAGCAAACCTCATCCACGAAGTCACAGGATCCTTCGCAGTGATTACCACATTGCCCTACTTCTTCATTTGGTTTTACGCAAACTAAACATTAGGTGGTTCAGTACTGTTCCATTCACCAAACCTGGTTCCTTGATTGGGCATTCACTAGCTGGTACACATTCTCCTTGGCTATTACGGTAGAACCCAAATTTGCAGGCACATGCAGGAGGACGACAGTCTGCTGTGCATAGCCGATTCTAAAACATTAAACAGTTTTGGAAGTCAGAAATGTAGACTACTTCGCCAACGAATTCACATAATCCCTCACAATGATTTCCACAACCATTCAACTCCTCATTAGCTTTTACACAAACTTGAAAACTTAGTCAGTATCGATGAAAAATCCTTTCAAACCTTGATTGTTTCCACCACCGTATGGAGCTTCACATCGTGCTCCAGTTGGGCTTTCTACACATTTATATCCTACCAAACAAGACGTAGAAGCGCAGGTAGCTGAATTACAGAGTAACAGAAAAAGTTACTGAAACCTCTAACCTATGGGCGGCGGTGTAGTACAACTTGGTCCAGTAGGCGTGTCAACACAAGGACCTGCACATCGAACATTGGCACATGTAATGCTCGGTTTTACTGAAGGAACTCCTAGACATCATATAAGTCAGACAAAACAATGAAACTTTTGAACAACCTGTTTTCTTTCTGCATTCCGACTTGGGAGTACATGGAGGCATGGCGCATGATTGTGGAATGATGACGCATTCTTCACCAGAGCCGCAAACACAATCTATTTTTTGGAAATTTCACTAAGTGATGTACAAAACGAACTTACTAATATTGATGTTGTACGTGTTGTTGCTTCCTGATAGAGGTACGCACAAAGGTCCGATAGCAGTATCTTGGCAACGCGTATCGGCCGCACAATCAGTTGTTGCGCAGCTAGCCGTGCCACTACCACCTCCTAAAGACCACAAGAATCATAATTGCATGGTATTGAAAAAATGAACCATATCCAGGAATGCAAACAGGACCAGTAGGAGTATCCATACATCTGAGACCAGAGCGACATTCAATAATTTCACAGGTAGCTAAAAATATATCATATGATAATTATTTTTTAATGTTTTATAACGTTTGGGTTCAACGGGGCCGATTGGAGGGATTCCCATAGGTATACACATAGGACCTGTAGGAGTTTCAATACATCTGTGTCCAGAAACGCAGTCTACTAACGCACAAGTTGCTGCTAGAATAGTTGATATGTATGTAAGAGGAACTATTTTTCCTGATATTCGAATTACCTGGTGGAGTTACATACTGATTTGGAGAACCACCGTATCCACGACGTGTGCCTCCAGTGCCTGTGTCTGAAACAGAAAGGCATGAAGAACAAGATGCAAATCAGACAGTGAAGGACATTAATTGCACGTTTTACAAACAACTGACGTAGTCAATCCCGAATAATTACTTTGGAACGACTGTCATATTTACAAAAGCTATTAACCAAACTGAAGCCTCAAACGAGAAATCTAACAACATGCAAATTGAGCTTTAACACGGATTTTACTATGACAGGACATCAGGACAAACCGGTATAAATGAATGGAGGTACACATTTGGGTCCATCTCTAGTTTCTCTACAGAGTAAATCAGAGGTGCAGGTAACACCAGCACATTGGAGTACTAAACACGGTAAACAATGAAATCGTCAGGTTTCAGGTCATAAAGCTTGACTGCATACGAGATGAAACATCTCTCACATAAACTTCATAACTGCACCAAACCAACCTACACACAAAGGTCCCCTAGGGGTATCTAAACATGCCAACTGATCAGGACAATTAACATGGGAACAATTGAAAGCTATAAAACCATAAACGCAACAAATCAACTAAAAACAGTCAGAAACTTACTAGGAAGGAAATCAGAATAAACTGTAAAAAAAAAGTGATAATAGGGCTGGAAAATAAGGGTTATAATACCTCCTTGATTAGATGGAATACACTCGGCTCTATCTGTGTAATCATAGCAGGTTCCGCTGCATTTAGTGCGCAGGTACTGGCAATAAGTTGCTGGTTTCACCCCGATATATTGTTTAGTGCATTTGCTCTTAGGAATACACATTCCAGTCTGATCCCGAGCATAGCCGCTCTTGCATTGACATTTTGGAGGTCCGCAAACTGCAGCACACACCTAGATTCAGTTCATTCGATTATATGTGTATTATTTTCAATTATACCAAATCAGGTTTATCACATAATTCATCACATCCAGAGCATTCCCTCCATGCTTCGTTCACGCCGCATTCTAGAAAAAAAACTAACGAATCGAGTACGAGATAACTGATTTACGAGTAAGTGGTTGGCATGATAAGACAGGATTACAAGGGGTTGTTATGCAGGTTACTGGAGTTGCAACACATTTCTGATTTTTAGGGCAGTTACAGCCGACTAGAAAAATAAGAGTGTTATAGGATACTGATACAAGTGAACCTGTGTCTACTGGAAGGCATCGAGGACCATTAGGAGTGTCTTTACAAGCGTTCCCGGCGATACAGTTCAATAAAACTGTTGAGCAAGAACCCTTCACATTATCGGCTTGACAGACTCCTCCTCTAGGTGTTTCAACACAGTGATAACCAGCAGAACACTTAACTGTGAGGCAACCACCTAGAATACAATTAGGAAAACCAAGCCTGATCAAGTAACTCACTTGGTTTCACAGGAGCAGCAGTGGCTCTGATGTTATCATAAAGTTGATACTGAGCTGAAATGAAATTGTAAGTCATATTACCAAAACAAACAAAACACTAACGGGTAACTGGACCGATAGTGTAGTAGGCTGGCTCGCAAACTGGTCCTTTCTTAGTTTCCAAACAAGAGTGTCCAACAGGGCAGCTCACAGCTGCGCAGCTTTCTAAAATGAGAAAAATTGAAGATTGCAACAAATGGTCTGGAACAGCTTCAAAGCGAGAAGAATGATCGGTTAATAATAAATATAAGCAGAACCCAGCGTAACATATTCTAATTAGTTGAAAATACGATAACGTACTTAGTACTCTTATTGGGGAAATAGTAACTCTTGTACTGTCTGATAGATAACGACCCGCTGTAGCTTTCTAAGTTTTGAGAGAAAATATTGTGATACTCACGAATGACAGGGCCAATTGTAAATCTTATTTCTTGGCATTGTGGTCCTTGGCTTGTTTCTACACATTGGTGATCAGCGGTGCATTTCACAGTTTTACATGAAACTAATATCAAATCAACTTTCGAATGCTTATTAGAACGACAAACGTTTAGGTGAGCCGGTGTATCGAATTGGAGAAATGGTGGCTTTTATTGGGGTGGCATCTCGAAGTGCTCCATAGAGACATTCGGCTCTGTCTCCATAATCGTAACAATTAGATGCTATAGGGCAACGAAGCAATT